TCTCCCCCCCCGCCCCCGCCATCCACCAGTTTCTACCCCATTATCATGCTCTCATTGAATGCAAACATTCTCTCTCTTTAATAATTTTCCCGAAAAAACTTTCAAATTTTATTGGAAATATAACTCTGGTTAGATTAATAATAAATTGTGAAAATATAACTGAAGGGCAAACAAATTACGGATAAAATATAGAAATTGTAGTGTGTGCGTACATAAAATGAAGGAAGATAATCGTAGTAATGTGGAAGTTAATATTCATCATGACGTATTTTTTACTGCATTTCGTCAAGTTTTGTTTTTCCATAGTAGCAATGTTTTAAAAATTTTCATTGAACAATTTTTTCACCAGTAACCGATAATTACATATTTATAGACTTATTCAACTATAGCATGGACATTTTCTATGCACAAAAAGCCAACGAATAAGGATAATGAAAGAATTACACCAGCAACAAAAACGAATGAATTTTGTAATGAGGTGAGATTGAGGTGAATATTCCAAAATTGGAGGGAAATGGTGAAATTCTCGTGAAGTTGTCACACTGTTCTCTAAAAAAGTTGCTTCGGTAACTTCACCATTTCCCTCAGACCAGAAGATATTCATTAAAAACTGAACTCGAAGTTCAATTGACTTGATGCACTTCACCACTTTGCAACTAATTCATTTTACCTAATCAATCTTCCAGTTTCATTCTGAATTATCAATAATAAATTCGAGATCATTGTGAGACGACGAAATCAGTAAAGAGAAAAGCCCAAAAATTCAGTAAAATGAAATTGTATTGTATCAAATGTTTCATTGACGCTGACTGTAAATATTCGTACGAATAGATATTCGAAAAATACTAAATTTCAAGACATCAAAATAGTCACAAACAAAGTGTTCTCATGCCGAACCTCATTAAAATTATATGTTTACTGTATTCCAGACCAATTATTATTTATATTCTTGTATAAAAGACATTTTCAATTAAAAAACTGTAGCTCCCCTTGAATAACTATTCAGCAATATCAAACTATACTGAGACAACGGGAACATCTTCATAAATTCTCAATCTCACAAATGAAAATAAATTAAGTATTTCATTTCGTACTTGTGTCATCGCTATATAGTTTGTAAGAAAATAATATTCCCATTCGCATTAATTTCCTTTCTTTACCTCCTCTATTATGTACACATATTACAAACAACATTATTGTATATAAATCCCGACGTTGTTTTCACTATGTACTATTTTCACTTTGCATTGTTTGGAGTAATTTCAATGGTCTTCTCATTGTCCCTTTACCTCGTTTGATTGAAATTTCAAAATTCCGCATCTCTTATTACTCAAACTTACTGCGTTTTTCAATTCAAATATAATAAAAAAAAATATCGTAATAGAATATAAATTCGCTGAATTTTGAATTGATGATTACGAACTCACTTTTGTTTCTCGAATCGAGTTAATAATTTACTCACTGGTCCTCCACAGAATCAACACAGATGTTTACTAAATTACTTTTTATAATTTAATATTTCTTCATAAACTTTGAATTTTTTTTTGTTCATTGTGATTAATATTTCGAGTGCAGTCCTCCGTTTTTTTCAGTTTCTATAACACCGGATGTAATGTACAGAATAGAAAGTCCAATGATTTCACCGAAATTGTTCGAAGATGCTAGGAAATAAGGTAAAAATGACGCATTTTTAATATTCAATAAATTCGAAACTAGGTATTCCACGTCAAATGAGTCAACGGTTAACCCTCAGCCGCTTGGAAATGATCTGGATATTTTTTACGATTGGGAGATTAGAAAAGCTATCTCTCAATTTTTTCAGATTTTTTAAACAGCCCATTTCGAAAATATGGTTTTTTCGTTGTTTTTCGATTTTTTTCAATAACTCTAGTTCTATTCATCCGATTTTGATTTATGACACGTCAAATTTTTCGAGCTGAATAGCAGCCGATGAAAAAAAAACGTAAAAAACAAAGAAAAAATCGAGAGAGTTTTCTTAGATCAATTTCCAAAAAACGTGAGGGTCAGCCATTGACAATCAACGTCGTACTGTTTTGAATTTGAAAAAGCGAATTGAACCCTGACGATTTTGTGTAATGGACAATTGAAATCAGTCCAAAAACTACGAAAAAAACCACCAACAAAAACCAAAGGCAATTTAAACTGGACCCCTCGGTAACTTCTGCTGAAAGCTGATCAATGTTCCATAAATAATTTAAAGTAGTAAAGAAAAACGTCATGGCTAAACCAAGTTCCATTACCAGTTAAAATGAATCCACTCATAACATACTTTTCCTCAGATTCACTCGAATATTACAAAGTATCTCACTCCTATTGCAGATTTATATAACATAGTCCGTGTCTTTTCAGTAACTCCCCCTCCAATCCCCACAATTATCACTAATCTGTACACAAGTAGTTGTCCAAGTGTTTAATTCGAAAGCACTAGAAATCGATGGGGGGTGAAAAAGTCGCTTTTATTCTATCTCATTCAAATATTTGTTTACCATTCTCAACGTCCTCTTCCTCCCTGTTTCACAAAAACAAATTGAAATACACTCACTCTCACCACTTACATCGTATAGTCCGGATCCTCACAGTCATCACCGCTATCACTACTATCAGAGTTCCTTCTCCGTTTTTTCTTCTTATGTTTTTTCACTTTGTCAGTTTTGTGCGTTCTACTCTTCCGATGCTCCTTATTAGTCTCAGGATGCGCGTGTATCGTTAATTTTGGTACACGTGGTGTCGTTGGTGCAGGAATAAAATTCACAGAATTATTAGGTAATTCTGAATTCGAATGTTGCAAGGGATCACCCCCTCCCCCCATGCCAGACCTCACAGCATTGATTTCCAAATGATTGACCCTAGCAGTCATCGGGTCGACGTTCTTCATCACCCCATCGTCTCCCTCGTCCTCCTCGGGCTCCTCAGGATCGAACTTGAGAATGAGCTGTCTGAAGTCCAAATACTCAGCGACCAATTTCTTCCTTCCACTGTCGTCAAGCTCCTCATTACTGACGCCCTCCTTCAACTTAGCTAAGGTCGCTTTTGGTTTGAACTGCATGTTGCTCTTCCTCGTAACAGCCTTCTCATAGACTTTGGCAGATTCTGACGGTGAGTACTGGCTTATTTTGGCGTCCGAAAATCCGTAAACCTCCTTGAGATGTTGCCTGAGAGTGAGGAGCAGCAGAAATCCCTGACTAGCTGTGATATACTCCCTCAGTAGCATCGTATCCTCAGGCAATCGTGCCAGGATGGCCTCGTCATCCTCCTCGTCCTCCTCTTCATCCTCGATTGCTGGAAGTATCTGAGCTGGTATGGGCTGGCCATCAGGCCCATAGATCATCGGCTGTACCTGAGGCATTTGATTATCAGAACTTGGCTCTTTAGGTAGTAACGCCTCCTTGAAGGATTGCAGCAAGTTCATCCCTGACATTGAAATAATAACATCGATGTGATGAATAATGAAGAGAGGTTCGTCCTGCACCTGATATGTGAAGTAGGCCAGATTATCGGCGAGATAAAGCATCTGGGATAAGCTCGATTTGGCAGATTCGTCGAATTGTTTTAGGAAGGATAAGACAATGGCTCTCCTCTGTTGCTTCGTACTCCTCAGGATGGTGTAGAGAAAGCCATTGAGCGCCCCAGGGAGCTCTCCCTCTTTCTGCCTCATTCCTCTCACTACAACATCGTTCTGAAGGATCTTCTGCAATCGATAGCTGAGTTTTATTCCTGATTGTGACTTCATGTGGATAAAGCCAGGATATTTCTTCTCAATTTCTTGAAGTTGCTTGTCTGCACTGTGGCTCACACTCTTTTCACAGTCTGTGCTCATGCAGATGAGGTAGGGGACGATCTGAACGGGATGAACGAGACCCTGGGCGAGAATTAGTTGAATCACCTTCAGTGCAGCATGACGAACATTCACGTTGGAGTGGAGAAACGACTCGAGAATCTCTTTGAGATACAGCTGTATCACGGTGCTTGCCATTCCAGAGGAGACATCTCCCATCTCCTTGAGATTCTCTTGCTTAGATAATTTCGCCCACTCCTGGTCCTGCTTTATCATCCTCTTCTCCTCCTCCTGAAGATAAATCTCGATGTTATTGAGCACCTGAGTCTTCATCGCCACGAGTGCGTGATCGGAGGTCAAAAGGTAGTGATAGAGTTCTTTCAGCTCTGGGGTCATCATGAACTCGTAGTGCCTGATGCACAAGGAGCCAATCGCCGACAGCGTGAAATGTCTGATGTCATTGTTATCCAAATGAACAAAGTAATTCAGCGTTTCGAAAACTTGGTCCTTGATATTCTCGGGGAGACCGTCGATGACCTCCGGGTCAGTGAAGTCAAAGTGTCGTAGGAGTAGTCCAACGGTGAACAAGGCACGTCGGAAGTACGGTCGACTCTTTATGAGCCAAGGATGCGAGGGATCTTTCTGATAGTAATTTTTGTACTGCTCCAAGTGTCCGTAGTACTGCAGAAAGCAATCGCGAATGAGCTTGAAGTTTCTCGTGACGTTATTTACGATCGAGCCCAGGCACGATAGGCAGCTTGCAACGACTGATTTATCGTGTTGAAGAATTAATTTCACAGAGTCCTCCTCCAGCTGCGCCAAGAATGTCTCACTTGGATGCTCCATAAGTGGCACAACGAGTTCAAGTGTATGGGCAACACTGCTGATTATCTGATAATCTCCCTGCGTATTGCATTTCAAGCTCAAGTAAGGTTGAAGGGTTGACGAATGAGCGACGAGAAGTTGTGGACGAATTTTGGCGAAGAGGTAGAGTGTTGTCATGCAGGCAACGAGTCGCTGTGACGAGCCCTTCTTCTCCTCCCTGTTCTGCTCTCGATTGTTCTCCTCAAGGCTGAGGATATTCTGAATTAAGCAGTCGACGATCTGTCTGCAAGCTGTTAATAACACCCTGGGGGGTTCTGTGAGCAATTTCGTACTGTCTTCCTTGTCCTCCTTGGGTTTAAACAAACTAACCAGCAGTTGCTCAAACCACTCTAAGCCAATGTCCTTATTCGTGGCAACAACATCAGTGATGTTCATGACTTTACGCAGCAGAGCAGGTGTGTCAAGCACTGGTTTCTCTCTCACTGGTGTGAACCACATGTTCTGGAACACCTCCATAACGAGTTTACGTATTCCCTCCTCGTCGTTAACTCGTCTGATCATCTTGCCGCAGATCTCGGGGATCTTGGAGAAGTCTGGGCACTCGATGCAGATGTCCTTTAGTATTTTAATTACCCTTTTACGGACACTGACACCAGTGTCCAAGATCCTCGCTAACAGCATGTCGTAGTACTTGTCGATTAGTTCAGGTCTGCTGAGCACGAATTTACCGACAAGATCGACAGCAGCTTCACGAACAGATGTCGAGTGATCTAAGAACGAGTAGTTGACGCCCCTCTGCATGTCGGATCTCGCCAGAACCGATGGATCAGCCTCGACAATCATAGTCAGACACTTCATCGCCTTCGTTCTGATTGCAATCGATGATTCAGTCAATACTTGAAGTATCTGCATCAGGTATTTATCGAAACTCTGGGAGAAGGGTCTCTTCGACGCCAAATACTGAGATATCAATTCAGCGGAATTGTAGTCAATGTACGTCTGCAGAATATCTGGCTTTGTGGTGCTAGAGCTGCAGGGACGGATCGAGCTGACGATAAACTTCTTCTTTCCCTCTATTGTCCGATAAACTTCCGAGTACTTCTGCTCATTATTGTCGTTTTCGTCGGGATCGGGCTCCTCAGGCTCTGAGGGCTCATCTTCGTCGCTTTCAATGTGCTTATTTCTCCTTTTGGATTTTTTCTTGCTAGGAGATTTCTTCACTGGAGTGTTCTTCGACTGACCAACTCGAGATTTCTCTTGAGTGTAGTCACGATACCACTGGGCGAGGTAGAAGTGCCTTGCGTAGGCCAGTGGTGAATCCTTAATCCCATTGACCGCGAGGTAATCCAGGAGAACTCTCTGAAGAAACATCGTGCGCTCCTCATCCTCAGAGAGACCTGCGATATTCGCCACTTGCTCGTAATCTGAATCTTTCTGCTGTTCAGCCTTGATGTCGTGAATTATCTGATCAATTGTCGACAATTTGCATTGGGAATTGACAGCATCCTTTCGTAATCTCGCTGCAACAACTCCAAGATACTCGATAGACGCCACTCTCAGGGACATGTCTGATCCTTTATTCGAAAAATGTCCGACGAGGAGGTTCCCCAGGAGACTCAGGAGGAGCTCAGCTGCTGGCCACTCGGGCTTGTTCACCGTTGCCAACAGATCTTGCACGAAATTCTCGAAGAGTGGCCGGTAGTCGACGTCAGTGCCTTTACTGCTGCACTTCTGGAGAAAAACTGAGAGAAAGTTGCCGGCGATTCTCGTTGCAGTGTCGTAACGTGTTATTATCAGCACGTCGAAGTCAACTTGCACTTGCTTCTTGTCGTCTCTTCTGTCGTCGTCAACTCTACTCGATCGCTCGGCCTTCAGCACACTGTCAGGTATTGTCACGACACATTGAATTAATTGAAGCATGAGGGCTGTTAGCATCTGTATGTGCTCTTCAGAGCTTAGCCTGTACGTTCGTAAACTCCTCTTGCTGCTTGGCAATCTTGCGATCGAAGCTAGAATATCATCCAGCAGTAATCGTCTGTGCTTCTCGTACTTGGTGAAGATTACAGTGACAAGTTTGAGGGCACTCAGCTGTAAATCACTGACTGATTCCACGAAGAATGGCGCAACACCCAGTGTCGATGCATGAAGAACTGTCGTGTCTGTCAACATCTGAATGTTCAGTAATTCAGCAAGAAGTGAGACCAACTCATGCATTTTGTTGTAAACTTCGAGTATGCTTTTCTCTCGAACCTCCTTCGCATTACCCCGTTTCTTTCGCCCTGCAGAATTGAAACTATCAGTCTTATGTTTCTTGTTATCTATCCTATAAACTGGATCGAAAGACGGATAAATTGTGTTTTGAAGCTGAAACTTCATAAACAAAACTATTCGATCGATCACATCCTCCAGATAAATTGTTTTCTTCATGTTTTGGGATGTCATTATGTTGAGGGCTATCAGGGAGGCGTCGACAGCCCGTTGAACCCTTTCCATGGCCAACTGCATCCACAGTTTGCTCTCCTCAACGTCGTCGTCTGGATCAGCGAGAGGCGATACCCTAGCACCGTCTCGTATGTTCTTCTCAAGAATGTTCAGTAATCTCACGAGTCTGTCCGATGGTATCGACTCCATTGCCCTCAGCGATTTCAATTTCGCTGCCTCTCTCGAGAGCTCTTGCAGATGATACTTGGAGATCAGCATTTCCTGGGGGACATCACCGTCGTCATCCACGTCAATCAACGTCGAATCCTCAGCATTCTCAAAGATAATATCAATTGTTGAATTAAATCTCTGGTAGGTGTTGGTCTCCATCAATTCATCGACACTCAATTTAGCAAGCACTGGTACGAGTTTCTTCTCGATCTTTCGTATTTTTGGTTTCTTTGGAGATAATGAGCCTTCCTTCACCTCTTCCTCCTCATCCTCGTCGTCGTCCAGAAGTTTTCTTCTTTTTCGCATTCTTTCGTCCTTCTTCTTCTTCCCACGCACCTTGAACGATTTGTTATCATCCTCCTCACTTTCAGACTCTGATTTCAATGTTTGATTGGCGGTTTGATTTTTACAGGCACGATCAAGTGATTTATCAGTGTACGAGGTCATATTTTGAGACATTAAGGCTTGATCAGAGAGTGGTAACCTGCTCAGCATGACGACTGGCTCCTTGAATTTCATGTCAGGGTATTGTCCAGACAGTCTGACGTCTTTCGCTGTGTTGTCAGGTACCTCATGATTCTGAGGGTCTACTGCTAGGGGTATCTGTGGCTCCGGTTGTATTTCAATGTCAAGAGCAGCGTTGAGAGTGTTTGCAACACTCTCGGGGGTGAGACTGGGGTAGGATGGTGGATTATTATCGATCGACTGATGATGCAGGGGTTTAGGATCGATGGCATCAATGGGTATGTCGATGTCAGGGAGAGCAGACACGTGATCCAGAAGGAATTGTGAGTTGTCTGGGACACTGTGGCCCAGATCCAGCGTTTGATTTGTCTCCAGGGGGTGATGCAGCTGTTGATTAATTATTGGATCGAACATTGTCGGCTGCAAGTTCAAGTTGACATTCATTTGGCCAATTGCCGGATGCATTGGAGAGGTCGTCTGCATGGGAGATGCTGTCTGCATTGGAGATGCCGTCTGCATGGGAGATGCTGTCTGCATGGGAGATGTCGTCTGCATGGGAGATGCCGTTTGCATGGGAGATGCTGTCTGCATGGGAGATGCTGTTTGCATCGAGGACGCTGTGTGCATCGGAGATACTGTGTGCATTGGAGAGACAGTATGCATTGGTGATGTCGTATGCATGGGAGATGCTATGTGGATCGGTGAGGCTGTGTGCATTGGAGACGTCATGTGCATCGTATGTTGGGGAGTGATATTGGCCATGTTATGATGATGATGCTGTTGATGTTGTTGATGCGGCTGGTGGTGGTGATGGTGGTGGTGGTGCTGATGGTGGGGCTGCTGCTGCTGTTGTTGTTGAAGGTGGTGCTGGTGCTGCTGATGCTGCTGATGATGATGATGAGGCTGATGGGGCTGATGGGGCTGATGAGGCTGATGGGGCTGGGCATGCTGTTGGCCTTGCTGCATATTCCCAACTTGCATCATAGGACTTTGCGAGCCCATATGCGCCGGTGAATAGATGTTCTGGTGATGTTGATTCATATTTAATTGATTAATGCAGTTGGCTTCCTCCTGCATGTGTTGGGGAGTTGTTCTCGACTGTTCAGTGATGACAGTGGCACGTGGTGATGGCGAAGGCACAGCAAACGGTGACATTTGGGATACATCAGCGTGATTCTGCGGTGTCAGTGGCATTCGTGGATGCTGGGCGTGGGATGTCCCAGGTGGTGGTAAGGCAGTGCGCGCTGCTGCTGGATGAGCTGGACTACCCTGTGGTGTTTGTCGTGAGCCTGATGAATTTGAATATGACGGTGAGAATCTTCCATAGTTGGCGGGTGACTGGCTCGAGTGCATCAGGGATCCACCCTGGGACCAATTGCGGGGTGAATTGTACTGGGGGCCTTTAAATACATGGGGATTTATCTGCAGGATTGCCTTCAGCAGCTCTGGGGCATTCTGTTCAGTCTCATGCGTTGTCTGATCATTCTTTGGGTGATGATCCTTCAATTCGATGTTGTCTGATGAGGTTTGGGATAGTGATGATATCAGCTGAGGCACCAGCGTCTCGTCGCGATTGCTCAGCAGGAGGTGGGCCTCTTCGGCGACACGTGGGTGAAATAGCAGTGACTTGTTTGTTAGTGTTTGGGGCAGGGGTGTTGGTAGGGGCATTTCCGGCAACAAGTCTGTTAGACTCGCTATACCAGCGAGGGTAGTGATTGGAACACTCGGTATAACCCCATTCATTTTGGGTTTTATTAGCTCTGGCATTCCACCCTGGACAGAAAATTTTTTTATCGTTATTTTTGGGGTTTATGGGCAATTCTTTGATAGATATTCCGTTGTGAAGAGATTATTTATTCGACAAGTTTTTGGACAAAATCTTGTTATAGATGGTAGAAAATGGAAAATTTTGAGCCATCATAAATAAAAATTGGCTGAATAGAACCCAGAAAAATTGAGAGATAGTTTTTCTAGCTGCCCAATGGTAGAAAAAATCGAGATCAATTTCCAAGTATATCATATATTTCAATGACAGCTTCCAATCGTCTCCTAATTTCCGAAAACTGGGCGAAATAATTTGACTGGGGCAGCAGTTTTGGACACAATTTTAAACGTGCCATGGAATGTACTTCAAATTAATTTCGTATTTCATCTCTTCACTAAAGAATTCGAAAAGAATTTGGAGATTAAAACGTGTCACACAAAGTTGAACCATTTTACCTCTTCACTACTAAATTAAGAAAGGATATTTACTCTATCTTGATAGTGGAGCTTTCACAGCACGCAGTGGTCCTTTGTCAGTGCAGTTCCATCCGAAATCCTGCATTCACATATTAACCAACGATAGATTAACATTTTCACAACCCGTTGACTTTCCATACGTTTGTCGGATATATTTAACCACAATGATGTTAAATTTACTCTTTTCCCACACTTCAGTGTTTATCCGCACTATCACTCGCAAGTTTTGTTTATCTATTACGTCAATTATCAAAGGAACTTAACGAGTCTCTTTCTCAAGTTCCCATGGTGCAGCTCGTACCATTCTCAGCCAAATTTTGACGATGCCCTTGGGTCCAGCAATAACCGATCCATGATGTACCTTGCCACTCAAATATTTATTATCTGAAACCAAATGAACTGATGTTAATTCATGCCCAAACATTTATCCGGGGATTCACTCCCGAATGTTACATAACCATCACAACTAAATTATTAGGAATGTTAAAACAAATCACTGGATTAAATTTCAATCTAACTTGACTTTTTGTTGCTGCATCCCCAATAAATTAATAACTGGCATTGCTGGCACCCCCAATTAATTAATAACTGGCAACAAAAATAAAAATATTCCGTGGGACAATTCAAACCCCCAAATGTCATAAGTGAACCACCAATTAACGCAACAATAATTTCCTCCTCTTCTGTTTCACTTGAGAATGAGAAAAATGTCAATCTTAGATCACAAAGATAACAAAACCTCAATTTTTTCAGCCGAAGAATAACAAAAAAGGTTGCTCACAGCCACCGGTGATAACATTCGTGGACAACTCCTTCTGCACAACTCGAAAATCCACGATAATGACTTATAGACAGCCAAACTAAACACCACAGACCTCGTAATTAAGCTGATCACAATTTAATGTCAATAGTCCCGTATCCAACAAAGTTCCAACTTGCAATTTTTGGCGGGAGGCCGTACTTATTTGTTAATTATATACAATTGAAAAAACACCCCCCGAGCCATTGAAACTCATCAATTTACCCATACGCAGTGGTCCAACAGTCGAAAAAGCCAAATTTTCTCCCATAAAAGTGTTTCCCTGAGATATCCCCCCAGTCACCAATTGTCATCCGTGGCTGTGGCCTACTTGGTTCTTTTTTTTCACGTCTCAGACGCGTATTTAATCACAATTTATCTAAGCAAATAAGCACATTAGAACATTGCACACTGCAAATAACACTTACATCATAAATTCAATTAATTGTACATTCACACATTTGTTTACCAAGATGAACGTTATTTTTTTAATTGTATTTATTATGTGAATATGAAGAAAACAGACACAAAGGCGTCCATTTTGCTCAGCAGCGGAGCTTAGCGGAAGTTGCGTAGTAGATGGAGTTCACAGGCAATTTGTTTGATTGTGTTGGGGACCTTAAAAAATATACGTGTATGGCAGCAGCGTCGCATTTCAAACGTTTCAAGTCGTGTTTTCAACTGAGCGATCAATGTCTTCCCACTTCATTGGTCCGTAGACTCGAGTAATGTGTCATCTGCCAATGAAATTCCCCTCACGGGACGCTCTATACATTTATCCGCTCCCCTGTAATTGTTGACAAAAAAATTTTTACGCCCAAATACAACATTTTGTCGGTCAAATCTGGGGTAGGGATGATTGAAAATTACATGATCATTGTGGAGGTTCTTTGAACGTTCTTCTGGGGGATTTATATCGATCGAGAAAAGTTTGTTTGTGACCGTTCAGAAGTGGCGTTTGTGTCGTTGTAAATCGATCAAGAAAACTTTGTTTGGCCGTTTGGAAGTGGCGTTTGTTCCGTTGCAAGTTCATTTCGAGGTTTGACGTCCATACAATGACCGGTAGATAAACTCACTTCTACTCAATGTTTTGAGGCGAAAAGACTGAACTTCCAAAATGAAAATTGAGAAAGAGTTGAGGTAATTTACGTAAATTGCGGATACTAGAATTTTTTATTTTATTCCGACTGTTCGACTTTGTTCGGTTAGAATGCGGCTCTCGGTACTTGGGGAGTGAAATATTATTTGAAATCTCCCGCACTTACAGAACGACAAGTCAACTGCCACCTTTCACTAAAAAAAGACCGAAATCCAACTCAAAATTCCCACGCAACTGTTTCTGTTCCCCCTCCACCTTCAGCCAGTAAAATAAAACCGCAGCAGGCAAAACTCCAAAATGGCGCCTTGTGTCAGTGTAAACACCCAATTTTTGATATAATTGGAGCGTGTAATTAGTGGTAAATGTACTTTTATATATGTGTGTAGTGTGCAATTGAGCTTCAATTCTACCAGTTGCCAGTGCAGTGAAGGAACAATAGTAGTCTGGATGTATGCTATTGCAATGTCAGTCGCCCATTCTATGACAGGTATGCTTTCGACATTCTACCTCGACCTCTCTCGTTCTCGGTTCAACTTTTGTGTAGTTGTTTTATCCTGGCAACCTCTATTTTGATGTCCAAAGTAATTTCATCTGTTGTATCATCACAAGGGAGAGGGGTTAGATCGAATTTCGTCAATTGGTTCTCAGGATTTTGTTTCATTGATTGATTGCCTGTGTACTGTGGTGAGGAATTGCCTCGTTTGTGTCATAAATCAACACTTGCATTGATGCAGATCAGTGTGAGAAAGAATTTGATTCGTTGGTAGTCAAAAGACAATGTTTTATATGCCTCAAGGTTTGAAAAATAACTGAGAATTTTGAGAACATTATTTAAACATTTTAATGATATGCCAAGTTGACATTATTGAAGTTTATGACAAGATATTCTTTGTATTTTAGGGTCGGAGCCGACGAAAATGGCCCAGAAAAGAGGTGCTAGCAGTATCGGGTAAGTTTTAACTCATCTTATTCATTGTTTGACGTTGTTATAAGGGGAGATTTTATTTAAGGCCCTATACAAAATGTGTGTAGGATAAAAAAAAAGAAATCAGTAATAGCAGCAACACAGGGGCGCAAGTGACAGTGGTCGTTTTCTTTTTCTTGAAGCATTAACTACAATGTGCTGAAAATTAATATCTCATTCCCTAGTCCTGAAGCTTTATTAAAAAATAAGTGAAACATTTTTGGTCAGCAATCTATTTTTTTATCGAAGACATGACAATTGGTGGCTAGTTCTTCACAAAAGCTTACATTTTCGTACTCGCAAAACCCTTGCTCCTGATTTTATAAACAGCGGGAATTTTTCGTCGTAAAAATTTTGAAAGATCATTTTCTCAATTTTTTTTTCAAATCTGAACATTATAAAAGCGGACATTAACTCATTTTTAATGAATAAGCGAATACATAATGATAAAAAATAATATGCAGAAAAGAGTTCTTTTATAATTAAATATTATTTTATCCTGCAAATAGTGGAAAAAATGCTTGCATAATAGAATAGATGGAAAACATGTATAGGAACCTTTTTCATAGAACAAAATTAAAGTTATGAACTTTCGTTTTATTCTGCGCAAAAAGTTCCACTGAAAATGTTGCCATCTCTTTTAGATACCGAGAAAGAACAAGATAAGTCAAGTCAACCTCAGGTCAGGCGAATTTCTGATGACTATTTCTGGATTGAGGGGAGAATGACGAACTTTTCATAAAAAACCGAAATTTTATAGAGCACAGCGCGAGCGATTAGAGCGATTTTCCTATCTCATTCACAATTCTTCCTTCTTGTCAAGCAAGAGGTGTCGTAACTTACAGAATGAGAGAAACCTCACTCTGGAACTCCCCCACGATTTGAGCAATTTATGTCGCTCCAAACTTTTACCTGCGGGGGGGGGGATGAGGCCCCGTGGTGTCTTTCTTTAGAAATCCCCACCGTTACGGACTATTGTCCACCTGCAAACCTATTCAGAGAGTCGGGGAGCCTGACTCCCAAAAATGCACTGACAAAATTGGTGTTGAAGTAACCGTAGCAGGTACCGGCCCCACCTCGTAACCGAAGAAAATACCATTACTCGGAGCATTGAAATCTCCACAAAAATGACAACCCCTCGATTACATCCTTTTCAATTTTCCCCAAAAGAATCGAAAACAATATGAAATAGCCATTTAAAATGCATTAACACAATTAGTGCAACAGTTCTATTAATTTTTCGACAAATTTCTGCCGATTTTTTCATCTCGTATTGTTCAAAAAATTTTGACGTCACGAAAAATTGATGAATTCACATAATTTCAAATGATGAAATTCGAGAAGTCGCAAAAGTACGAAAATACGAAGACGATCATACACCGATAGATGATCGGCTCGACGAACTGGAAGAGGGAGAAGTGATAGTCCCCTCCTCTCCAACTGGACAGAACTGCCGCACATAATACAGCTATGGTGGAATCAGTCACTAGCGGGACGTGGGTGGTGACGAGTCGAAACATTCATTAAAAATCGTACTCCTTGTTTTTCCCGATTTACATTCGTCAAACTTCCGCGTTCAGTGAATTGAAGACCAACGTCCAGTGCCACGGTTGTTATTCTCACATCACAAATTATTGTTTTTATTCAAGTGAAAAACATTCGCATACAGGAGAAGATCGGCGAAATCCGCTGGCGTTTTTGCCACTTGAATTGCGGTATACATTTCCACGTTCTGACGTTCTGCTTTATTTTTGCTTCAATTAATAGATAAAACGGAATGGGTCCATTCAGTGATTTTGCACCTGCGTATTTTTTCACGCAAAGAAACTCATAATCTGTTGCAATGATAAGTGCGAATGGGGTTTACATCGAGTGGTGTTGCAAGTGTTGGAGTGAAGTGTAACTGCAAAATGCGAGAAAAATGTTCTTCACTAGATTAAAGATAACTTTTATAATAAAGTAAGTTAGAGCGACAATTGACAGAAGAAAACAGAAAAAAAATCGGTTGAAGTGAAAAATCAAAGACAAGTGTTCACTCACAGCTTGAACTCTCGACAAAGTCTCATCGGAATTGACAGTTGAGAAGCCCCGACTGGAAAATGTACAAGTCCCATTTTGACGACTGAGTCCTGACTGAATTGGACAGAGGAAGATTGAATATTTGGATCCTGAAGTACTTCGTGATCCCTCGAAGTGATAAATTAAACATTCAAGATAGAGTATCCTGGCGGGAACGGTATGTACGGGGGTGGTACGGGTAGCACGGGTTACGGGGTTGGCTTGGGCCATGGGCCCGGTCCCTCGCATTATGTACCCCCACCTCCGAGCCACGTTGCTTACCAATTGGGCGCGGCGCCCTCGCTGATCGGGGGACTGCCGCCTGGAGCGAGTGGCCCACCACCCGGAAGTCAGCTACTGTCTTACGGTGCTAACTTATCGCCTCATCATGTACAGCAGCCGCAAAATGATTCGCCACAGTTGAAACGACGAAGGTAAAGACAAGAAACGAAGTGTTTGGCCACTGAAAGAGTGGGGAGGGGCTGTGGACCAATTTGGGCCAGTTGACTGGGAAAACGTCTCGGTAAAATGTACTCTGAAAATTGACTCTACTTTTCCATTAACGTATAGCCTTCGGTTTCTCACGGATTTCACTTTTCCAGCGGCATATTAATTCCTAATGCTTCTCAAAAGCTCTCGAAAAAATTCGAACCTTTCCAGAGGTGTTCCCTCGCTGCCACCCATCCTTCTAGTGAACACGTTTATTAGCGCTGCTTAGCTTCTCACAGCTAAGCCGGCCAAAACCGCCGTGCGCCGAAGAAATACAAAATTATTTTTTACTATGTGAACGTAGTAATGATCGACCATACTCACCAGGCTCAAAATTACTGTCGAATTTTTCCGCCGAGTGAACGTTGATTCCGTACTTTCTGGCCCGCCTAATGCCACTGAGACCCTCACTCGCCCCAAAAATGCAGAAATAAAAAAAATTTTTTTTTCACCCGGAGCCAGATGCCATATTTAGGATTTTTTCGGGGGGAAAGTCGACTTTCGCCAAAATCGAATTTTTCCGCCGAGTGAAAGTCGATTCTGTATTTTCTGGCCCGCCTAATGCCACTGAGACCCTCACTTGTCCCAGAAATGCAGAAATAAAAAAATTTATTTTTTCACCCGGAGCCAGATGCCATATTTAGGCTTTTTTCGGGGGGAAAGTGGACTTTCGCCAAAATCGAATTTTTCTGCCGAGTGAACGTTGTTTCGATGAACGGAGCAAATATTTCCCCTAGATTTCCAGAATGAAAAGGTCTGAATCGATCGGTTTGAATTTTTTGACACTTATGTTATTCTGTTACTAAGGTCGTTACGTAGACAATTATCGCAACTTGAAATTCGCAATCAAATGACTTTTACCATTGACTATGAAGGGAAAGAATGGACAAACATGGAATTCTATTGTTATTTTGTGCACCGTCATTTACTGGTTTGTCATCGTGAAGTTCATACGCTCAACTTCGTATGTTAGCTACGTGACCAACAGACCGACTTTGCTATCAACACTCATTAACTGATCAGTCGCACGTGCTGGCCATGTGTACTATCAGTACTTATTCATTCACACACGGAGAAAAAATCCCGAGGGAAATTACCGCACAAGTCAAGTAATCGTGGAGCGAACTCAATTTTCTCTACTCCCATACGGAAAAATATATTTTCTGCACTGAGAGAAATGTTCAATAAAAATTACGTATCTTTCCCGTAATTCCAGAGCGAAATGTGGTTGTAGGAAATTTTACGGAACTGTCACGGAATTTATCAGCAGCGTCACTTAAATTTTTTGAGTCGTGCTTTTCGGTTGAAAAGAAGAGTTGAAAACGTCCCGTATATCCACGGTCAAAGTTACCGTGGAGCGTGTGAATGTCAGACACTGCCACACGAATAATGAATTTTTCTCCGCTGGCCCGGGAAAATTTACCCTGCATTCCATAAAAAATGATCCCAATGAACATAAATAATTGCTTAATATTGCGATTAATTTTTCTGATACGGACAATGATTTTTTGCCAAACGCGTCCGGTAATCTCACTTCTCTTCATCCCTTATACGAATTTTTGCATCTGTAGACATGGTTTTTGTTAAATTAGCAAAAATCTTATTATGTACATTCTGATATAGGATTCTGCTCCGGAGAAATGATCGGCGTTGCGAGCCGTTGTTTACCGGATTGTTTCAGCAGGATCAGCGACCAACGTGGAGCCATAACAATGACCAGCTGTTGGGTGGTCCCCTGTGATTATTCTTAGCTTAGTAGACGGCACTTTCGTAATTTCTTTTTCCTTATCAATGAAAATCGGAAAACACAACATGCGGGACGCTCCACTTCAACTCAGCCACTCTGTTTTTGCTTCCGAATGGAGGATTTGCAATCATTCAATTTTCACATTTTCTAATTTTGATTGGGAATTATGTAGAATTCGGGGATCTCCCTTTCTTCTTCGAAAAGTTGTATTCTGTTACTTATGTACCTTCGATTTTACAGCGCCAGTATAATTTTGGAATGAGCTCCATTTTCGTTTTTTTTGCCTACAAATTTTATTGTTTTTTTTTGCCGGAGCCAATCGAAAATTATAGAATAGATTTTTTCCTCGCCCTCCCCCCCCTTGACGTCCATTCATATCTTCGCAGTCATACACGTTATAAAGAATTAATAATAAGGGCAGTTACCACATATTCTCATAGTTGCTATCTGCGATAGCCATATCCGCAAGTCAGAATCACTGTTGAATCATGAAGTAGTCAATCCGTTGATATCACTCTTAAATTTTTGATAATTCAAGTAATCATTAATTTAAATACTCAAATTCCGAATTATTTTATTCATCATCAGTCGGACATTTCGATTTCAATTATTTTACTATTTAAAAGAATATATTTAAAATATTGAAAATGTTAAATATTTCAAATATTTAACATTTAAAGACATTTTTTCGATGAGTATATTTAAATCTTTATCAATGTAAGTCGGAAATTCTTTTAATACTGAAGAGTTGTAATTGATGGCCATCCCGGGTTTCTATAAGTAGAATACTTATAAAATTGATTTGATCAAACAATAAGCCCTGATGTATGTAGCCATCAATCAGCTGATCACCTGCGTGGGCTTGAATTTTCAAAAATTGTCAATGCCAAATCCTGTTGAAAAATAGTCGTCATTATCCTCGAAAAAAATTCTCACACTCCTTTACTCCCGAATGAAACTTTCCATGAAATAATATTGCTCTGAATTGTCTCGGTGAGATGAAATGCGATTTGCAACCACGAGTCTGCAATAGTATCCTGGCTAAACCGCTTGTTTACGCGTTCATCCTCCCTCAACTCGTGGTTTTATTCCGCACGTGATGAACGAATGAGAAGGAGAGGGAGGGAGGGAGTAGTAATCGGAGGATGGACAATTGGCGACGAATGTAAAACCCACTAGTTGTGGAATTTGTCACGTAGTGGAGATTTGCGGTCACTGGCAAATTCAGACGTATCACCTGACTAACGGTTCGTTACTATTACACTATATTCAAGTTTTTGCGAACTATGATTATTAATCCTTTCGGTTTTCCGAGGGTACATCTAATGTGGCTTTTTCTTTTCCATCGAAATGCGGGGGGTTTATGGGAGCCTTTGGAAATATGAGTGAAATCATGATGAATAATTGCTATCTACCACTATTTTCTCAGAGGGGCTATATGACACTTGGCCCCAGGTGAAAAATAAAAATGTTATTTTTGCATTTCTGGGGCCTCCGAGTGTGTTTCATTACGTCTGTTCGTCGATTGTTCGTCCTGAAATCACTACCATTATCTTGAATAATTGCTGTCTACCACAATTTTCTCAGAGGGGCTACATGACACTTTGGCCCCAGGTGAAAAAAAAAAAATTATTTGAAATTGGTTCAAGTGTGGCCACGCTACTTGTTTCAAGAAAGAAACGTCTCCTAACTTTGTCGTTGTTAAAATTTTCAAGCTCTTTCGCTTGAGATTTACGAGTAATTTTCCGCCAGTGTGCAAAGTTGTCAAGCCTCGATTATTTAGGCGGAGTAGAACTGAAAATTTGCGACACAGCCTTGCAGTAGCATGACCATTGACCAATGAAACGTCAGGAGATTGGATAAGAAGCATGGACCGCCCCCCGTGCGGCACACGGACCCGTATAACGGACCCAGAACCGTCCAATGGCAGAGGATATCCTCTTAATATGCAAGACCTCTACCGTCTACTTGACAATGAGAAGAAAAAAAAAACGTCTTAACGGCAAGAGCGTTAGATTCCAAATAAAACAATTGATGGCTGAATTAAAACCACGAAAGGTCTCGTACCCGCAAAGAGTCAGGTGGCAATGGAACCCCTCGAACAAGTGCCACTCGGGGGTCGACTCGTGAGGTCGAACTACATGAATTTCGTTGGCTTTATTTTTTCTTAACTTGAGAGACAAAAATGAGATAAAGAGCTGAGCACAGGAGCTACTGAAACGGCGCTTTTTTCGCGGAGGGTCCTCGTTGGATCCTAGATCTCCCACTGAGATATTGCAGTAGTCGTCTTCCACCCCCTCGCCCCTTTCCAAAAACTAAATTCGTGGCAGCCGGAGCGAACAAGTTGGACGGGAAAATATACCTCGGGTCAAAGATGTCACTTTAACCGTTGGCCCCGCCAACGTATATAAGGCATTCGATGCAAATGCATTCCAGTAAGTAAAATGCAGAACAGTGACCCGGTAGCTAGTGCCTTTATCTTTATCGGACGGGGTACGTGGAAAAATGCAACGAAAATTGAGATTACGAAAATTGAAAGTGGCATTACCGATGGATATTTTTTTAAATTCGGTCACATGAAAACTAAAAACTAAAAAGTGAAAAAAAATAGGCGGTTAACAAAATATAAACGAAAATTAAAATTGGAAATTTGGAGGCACAAAACCCATGACACGTTCTGTGGAATGTCTCAAATGACAGACTCACACATTCTTCATAAATACTTTATTGACAGTCAGAATCTTAAAATATTGAATTAATTTTAATTTTTGTGCTGCACTCAAAAACCTCAAAAGGCATTTCTCGTATCTCGAAAATTGTCACATATTCTACTCGTTGTTACTGAGATCCGTTACAGAAGTATAATGCCTCTGGCGGATCATTATGTACTCCATAAATCGAGGGGCTCTACGGACAACAGTAGAGTAACAGGGATGAAGAGGAAAAAAATAAAACAAGAGGAAACGTAGGAATAAAAAATTGTGTAAAGTAAAAGGAGGAAAAAAAAATGAAAAGAATAACAGGATAGGACTATTCGTCGTGGGAATAAGGATGGAGAGGTGAACGATTGAGAGAGAGGGACGGAGGAGGTAAGAATGGTATCTTCACTGGGTTGGTGAGGGCCTCGATGAGAGAGCACCCACGTACATATACATAGAGAGAAAGACTTACCCGGATGCAAGCCCTACCACCCTCACAATGCTTGCGCTGTAGTGGGAGGAGGGTCATGGGTGTACCCCAGCGGAGGCCAAAGGGATAAACAAGGATGCCAACAGTTAGGTTATACTTCGTACTCTACCTCTTCTTCAGGGTCAGCAGCGTGCATCAAAATGTTTTTTTCCTCCCTCAATTTTTTTAGTCATTTTTTTTACAAATGAGGGACGGGCTTGGGGCCTCCAAATTTCGATTTTGAATTTTGTTAACCACAATAGAATGAGTAAACTGTTAAAATTTCAGACTCTTCGCTGCATAAGTAAGAGAGGAACACCGATTTTTCTCATTTTTTAGTTCTTACAGTTTTCATGTGACTGAATTTAAAAAAAAAGTTCTATACGCTGTTTAAAAAAATGATATTTCAGGTTTCACGGAAAATTCAGTTAAATTCAAGAAGTTTAAGCAGCATAGAGACAAGAATTCCTCAGTCTATTTGAATTTCCAATCAAACGTGAATTTCCAGTGAAATCTGAAATTTTATGATTTTTCCCTCTAAATCGCATTCCGTGCGATGAATGCAGTGTGTTGAACATTGCAGGCATGTTATAATCACTCTAGTGTCCAGAATCCCTGGAATAAAAAAACGCGCGAATCTCAACTACAAATTGCAATAGTTTTTGTTGAGATCTTCAGCGATTCAAGCGGCAACATCAGCCCTTTTAATGAGACAAACCCTGATGGATTTAGTATCGACAGTTCTCCTCAACATAATCCTTTTTCATTCTCATCGATTAAAATGGACGCGTGGAGAGCGATGAATGTAGCGCCATACTTGGACAAGAGGAAGTCGTAATTTACGTGTACAGATGACACAATTTATTAGTAACTGTTGATCAATCACTACGTGCGCAAAAAATTGATCTGAACGAAATGAATGCAATCTTTAGCACTTTAGGAACGCTTGAAAAACCAAAGAGTATTTCACTGTTATTTTTATTTTTATTATCGCAAGACTTGCTCATTTTTTCACCTATTATTTTTATTATAGCGAATAATTTTAGAGTCGATCAATTCGTCACGTTTCAGATCCGACGAGGACGATCCCAGTGGAGTGAAGTATCGGAGAATCGAGGACGACAATTTGCAGGACAAGGAGAGATTCGCCAGGTTAGTGTCGGGTATAAGTAACCACGTGGGTTGTGAATTATCGTCGTTGCCAGTTTGAAATAATTGGAAAAAATGCCGAGTTAATTTAGGTCGATAACTGCAGCCCTGTCTTGCTCCATCTTGTTCACAATTATCATTACATTTGTATAAATATTAGCTGTGTGGCCCGGCCAGAATCCGAGAAAATTGAAATCAGGTTTTTTGCGAATTCCTGCAATTCAAAAAAAAACCATTCAATTTTTTGGAAAACCCTCAAATTCTGTTGACTTCTCGGATGTTTTTTTTAATTATAGGAATTCCCAACAATTTTGGTATTTAATTTTCTTTTATTCTGCGTGGGCGAAGCCGGGCCACACAACTAATCAATCACAATATGAAATTAAATTGCTCAATTGAAAGTAAAAAAATTATTTAGAAGAACTGAGAGTTCCTGCGAATTTTCTAGAAGTTTCTGCAGTGCATACTAAACCTTGCACCGTAGCCCAATGACTTATACTTTATTAGCAATTTTTTGAAATTTCATGGAAGATTTTATAGTCAATCTCACGAGAGTGACAGAAATTTCAAGTTTTAAGTGGAATTCACGGAAATTCATGAGTTTTCAGTGGAAGTGAAATGGAAATTTGAGTGGATTTTGAACACGATAAAAATTTCCGGAATCTGGCACGGAAAATTCAGACGAAAATTTTGAACAGAATAGCCTGAAGCCGACTGGAGAGCCTAAATAATGTAATAGTAAAAGTACTATTAACAACTCTTCAGTCATTTTTGCGTGAATCGCAGCTAAAGACTGGGCACCAGATTTATTAAATATAAAATGAACGATTGGATTTGCAAATAACTAAAACGCCGGTCCGGCATATATTCATGAATTTTGTTTTTTGAGTCGTTCGCGATTCCGGATTAGTCACGAGTGCTTAGCTTAACCGTACATGTATGCCTTTACTATATCGAGACTTGGTACCTAGGGGGAGAAAGGGGGAACTGTATGCACAGTTTTGTGTGTGTGTATGCACCGATGGATGTTCTTTCTTTTATCTCTCTCGTTTTCACTCTCCTCAGCCCTTCTTTCTACTTGAACAGCACTCGATGGCGATAGCGGCAATGGTGTAAGCCCTCGGCGTCTCTCAACTACGCCGTGGGAACACCGAGATACACGCGCTCTTTTCAAGACCAACCAGCTTCACTCCCTATTTATCCCTATCGAGTCATTCGTTAGTCAATCAGCCAAGGAATTGGAGGGAGATGATTTCAGTTGCAAAATTGGGGCGATTTCATCGCCAACACGGCTGAAGCACTCGGCTTTCAAATGAAACCCCAATTTGTAAGATACTTCATCTCTTGAATGTTAAAATAACTGTTGAAACATCACTGTTTAAATTTTTTGTCTCAATTTCCCGTGTCAAATCCCGATTTTTAGACCGTCTGTCGAATAATATTTTTTGTTCGCTAATTTTAATGACCCAAACGGTGAATTTCTAATTTTTCGGAAAAAATTGGAACCGTAAACCCATACATTTTTTCACTACTGTACGCGATAATAATGCTGTAATTTTTGAGTTGTTCAGACTAGGAAATTGGAAAAGACAAGGCAATAATGCCGACGATTTGTGATGTCGCGCGCAACACCCATCACTTTTAAGTTAATAACGCCATTATAATCCTCTTCCCCTTTTCCCCCCGAGCCGCAAGTCGTCTAGCAATGTTTCTTCATTTCTTCTGCTGTCTTTCACTGAAAATTTCCATCACTTGAATTTCTCCTGCTCTATCGCGTGCCACTAACGTTAATATAAACTCTGGCATGAGATTTTTTTTTTCATTTTTCTCAAGAATATATTTTTCTTCTCCATGTTCTTTGGTCTGCACTATTATAAAGGTCCTGGGACGGAATATCTCTCGGGGGATTAGCCTCAGTCTCTTCTGGAAGTATTTGTCTCCCCCTCTTTTTCATCGCATTCCCGTGGTTAACCGAGAGGCAAAATGCAACAAGTAGATCTCGCCGGGTTTGTCTCTCATATTTCTATTACTGGAAAAGTTCTATGGATTTTGTTGATTGTTATTTATGAAACGGTTCCACCAGTTATCCACTGGACATTTCTACTGGGATTTTAGACAACTACTTACAGACAAAAAATTAACAATAATATAGCGATGAATATAATTCTACATTTATTATTTGAAAGCCCAAATTAAATTAATCAATCGAGTGTATCATCAAAGATATTGTAAAAACGGCAGTAAATATATTTTTTTTAATGCATTTGAATCGTTGAAGCAGGAAAAAATTAGTTGAAATGTCGTAGTTGAAAAATTGTCCAGGTGATAAGTCGTGTCACCGATGAAACAATGATTCGGTGATTGGAGATTATGTACAGTGCGATGCAGTCGATGTGCAATGGAGAATCGGCCATAAGCAGCCGGTAAACCTTGCGAGACTGTCTGGCCTATGACCCTCGTGAAAGAGTTCTCCTACTTTTCTCTTATATATGTGCGAGCACTTTATACTTGCACTCGATTTGACCTGTTTTGAATGTCCATCTAACGCTGAACCCGTTATGTATCCCTCGGCGATTTTCCTTGTAAGAAATAAGGCCCAGGATATACTTTGCACGTCCCTTTCCCATTGAAATCTCTTCAATTTTTGGCGATGATAAGGTCTCACTGCCATGTTTTTATGTTTTTTCATTTTTCATTCATTTATTTACACGTTTTTACAGGGAGGTCCCCTATTCTCTCGTTCGCTCTGCTCTTGCGTGTACCCCATCATCCATCCGCTGACCCCCTCCCTCCTCGCATGAATTTCCCGTGATTTATCATAAATTAAACACTATTAAATTTACGATAGCACCTCACTCATTATGTACTTTACGTTACCAACGATGAACCAAGAGCTTAAAATATTGCGTGCCCCCAACCCCATTTCTTCCATCTGTGCCCCCTTGCATGACACGTAATAAGGGGGTGCAAAGGGAGGGAAAAGTCGAAGAGTACTGCTATTCCCTGGCAACATGAGCGATAAAGACAGAATTACCGTTCTGGTTCTCGTTATGGGAGTCTTGAGGTAGTATAAAGGTCAAGTAAATGGACTGTATCATGAGAGGATAATCACACTGGCAATGGCGATGTGATTTTTTAAAAAAGAAATGATAATCACTCCGAACCCCCTTGAAGTGCATTCAACTCTCCTATTGTGTATTTAATTTTTTTGTTCACTGCGCACCGAATGAATTGGAAAAAATTCATGTTCACGGAAGTCATTGAATTAGCCTGAATAAAAAACATCACTTGTTCTTCTTTCTGTTGATTATAAACAGCCGGGAGAATCATTGTGAAATTGAACGTCGGCGGCGAAATAAGATGACCGCGTATATAACTGAACTTTCGGACATGGTACCAACATGCTCGACCCTCGCCAGAAAGCCCGATAAACTGACAATACTCAGGATGGCTGTTGCCCACATGAAGGCGCTGAGAGGTAAGACAATTGAATTCTCTATTTAAAAATGGGGGAAATATTTTTGATCAGCAATCTATTTCGCCAAGCATGAGCTAGAATGAACGAAGAAATGAATAAATAATTACATTGAAAATCCGAATTGACTTCTGGTGATGGAAATTTGGTGGTCGACATTAAGACGCCAAAATTAAGAGTTACGAGGGTCATGAGGGTCAAGATAAGGGTCTGAGGATCACTAGAAAGAAAAAAATTATAATTTACTTGGTTTGACTGAAGAGTTTTTTCTTATTATTAATCTGCCGGAGGCTAAACGTTTTGGTTTGTAATCTAGCGCAGTGATAAGTTATCCGTTATGGTTTTTGAGATTTGTCACGTCCGAGTGTTCGAGTGTTGATAATGCACTACAAATTGAGTAATTTAATCATTATCGTTGTTATTATTTCTCTTGCTTCAGTAGAGTAATTTTACTTAATCTTTTTGAGTTTATCGACACGTTTCGGTCAATCGTGACGAAGTTTTTTTATCACTTGGTCCCTCTTATGCCCATCATCTTCATAAAGAGAGGGAAAGAATCCCCCGTCCGAAAATTTGGTCACTGGCAAGCGAATGAGCGTCAAACCGAATTGATAAATTTGATTGGGAGAAATTGAACTTCTCTAGTGTAATAATGAGAGTTTTTGAGGTGTTTCCAGCCAAAATTTTGCCAACTACAGAATATATTCGGTTTAAAAAAATAGAACTTTTCCATTTTTGTGGTGAACACGTGTGACTTGACCCCAAGAACATTATTATTTTTTTGTTTTCAAGTAAATGTAGGAAAGGAGAACTAATTGATATTCACCGTAAGATCTTATTTATTTGAAATCGGTTCAAGTGTATAATACCTCTTCCAAGACAGAAACATCTCAATGAAAATAATTAATCAATAAAAATAATAATAATTTTTTTGTCGGTGTGTGGATGAGATCATTTGACAGATTTTTCTAAAGCTGTTAGTTTCGAAAGAGGTCTCTGATAAATCTGCATAGACTAGCTCGACTTTCCAGCATCTTTCAAATAAATTATACACTGAGGTATGGAGATTATATCGAATTCAGGGAAGGATATATGCTTCCGGTGTTGTGAGATGGGGTGACGAGGTAGTCTCTTCTCGTTCATCGTAGAAACTTGTCGCGTTACCGTACTCACACAAATGAAATATAAAATAAGTAAGGAAACAACTGTTAAAATTTTATGAAATATCCGAGTCGTTTGTATACGAAGGGAAGAGAGAGGGATAACGGAGATAGCTGCGCGTATCGTTTGGTGCTTCGCATTGTTTATAGCCACCTTTTTCTTTTTATTTTATTTTTTCCCCTCTTCCCTCCGACCCACTGCAGTGGCCACTGAATACAAATTGACCTAAGGTAGGTGGACCTTTACCTGTTAGATTCATCGAGACGAATTCCCAGTGACTTCAGGCTTGACGATTGCAAGCAGAAGGACAAAAAAATATGTGAGACATTCCACAGAAATTGTCATGGGGTTTGGGCCTCAAAATTTGGATTTTGAATTTTCGTTTTTACAGTTTTAATGTGATCGAATTAAAAAAAAAAATTCTTTAAATTTTAAATTCGAATTTTTACTATGAATAATGAGTTTTAATGGTGAAAAGTGGTGAATGATTTTGAGTGAGCGTTCCCCGATTTTTTTAAAATTAAAAATCGGAATTCAAAATTCAGAATCGAAGAATTTTCAATATCAAATCATTTCAGTATCATTTGGGAATGAAGACTTCCAATGAATCAATAGCAATGTCCCCTTGAAATCCATGTGAACCACCTGAAATTTCCGGCTGACGTATGGTTTCGATTTGAGTTTGCTCAGGCAGTTGAAAAGGACCTAGAAAATCCGAAGAAGGGGAGGGGAGGCTAGGTGGAAAATAATGGTAACGAAGGTCACGATCAGGGACCGTCCATAGATCTTGTTTGGAAGTCGTTAAAGTTCCTCTTCCCGGAATTTCTCGTATATCGAAACGTAGATCGAATCGAGAGAGAAGGAGAGAGCGAGCGAGGGAGCGAGAAAGAGCCACTGGCGAGTTCTACCCCAGGGATCCTGTCCCGCTTTGCAATTCCGATCTTGCACTTCGATAGTTCCATAGGCATATACCAATACTTGTTGGCGGTGCGCCACAATTTTTGGCACTAGAAACAAAAAGCAGGAAACAGCGAGCATGTCACAGAGCTAGTCCTCATTAAGGCCTACAATCTGCCAAAATTTCCGATTTTTTGGAACTGCATAATTTCCAATAAAAATTAGAGAAGCCAAAATAAATGAGGTTTTTCAAATTCTCCGTCCAACGATTCTGCAATTTTATTCCTTTTAATTTTCTCTAGGCACTGGCAACACGAGCGCCGATGGTACTTATAAGCCGTCCTTCCTCACGGATCAGGAGCTAAAGCATCTGATTCTGGAAGCTGCCGATGGTTTTCTCTTTGTGGTTAGCTGCGACACTGGCAGAATCATTTATGTTTCGGACTCAGTAGCGCCGGTACTCAATTACCAGCAGAGTGATTGGTATGGCACGAGTTTGTACAATCAAGTTCATCCTGATGATACGGAAAAAGTACGAGAGCAACTCAGTGCCTCGGAGCCACAGCACGCTGGACGAGTTCTTGATCTGAAGACGGGAACAGTGAAGAAAGAAGGACATCAATGTAAGTGATTCCTCATGTATTAACGGACAACATTTGGAGACAATTAATATTGCAGATGCATCCGAAATTGCATGGGTAAAAGAGAATTTTTTATTGTCCACAGAATTTATGATAAAGAATGACTTTTTTTGCAATTACTATAAACAAAAGATTCCAGTACATAAATAAATATATATAGACATATTACATTACTTGAAAAGCGTAATGCAGGCTTCAAAAATCGTTACCCTGGATTTTTTAAAAGTGAATGAATAACATTTTCTGAAATTATCCTAGCTTCTGTGAGACTGAGCATGGGCTCAAGACGAGGTTTCATATGCCGTATGAAGGTCGGTAACCTCCAGACAACGGGTGACATGGCAGCGGCACAAGGTCTCCATCGTATGAAGCAGAGAAATTCGCTTGGACCACCGGCACGAGACGGCCAGAGTTACGCCGTTGTTCACTGCACGGGGTACATCAAAAATTGGCCCCCCACCGGTGAGTTTGGTATGGATCTCACGGACTTTATTCCATTGTTCCTATCGGCATATTCGTAGCTAGTTATTTTCACTTCATTTTGATTTTCATAAGTTGAGCTTCTTTAAGAAAATACACACATCATGCCCTCCTGCACTTCACACGATTCATATTCCATCGCTTTGATCGAACAGTTAGTGAAGATTTGAGTAAAGATAATTAGAGGATGATGAAAAAATAAATAGGGTGAGAGGGAACGATGGACTAACCTCAGTGATTTTATCGTGCATAGGTGATTTTGTTCCCCCGTGTGTACCAGGTGTGGGTTTAGGTGACAGAAATGCTGTACAAACTGGCCCGGATGGCATTGTCTCTGAGGACGCTGCTAATCACTGCTGTCTCGTTGCTATCGGTCGTCTTCAGGTTACTAGCACACCTAATACCAATGATTTGACTGGCTCCAATAGCAATAATGGTAATTTATACGGTTTTCATTGATATTCATAAGAACAAATTACATTGTTTTTTTACAGAACTATATTGATGTTTCTACAGTTAAAGTAGAAAAAAATATATATCCATGTGAAAGCATTCCTTATTTGATTTTTAAAAAATTGATTAACACATAATTTCTCATTTGATTCAATCAGTTATTGTTGCCTGCATCAACAACACATGTTATTTAGGGTCCGATGGTCTTGGGATATCGTTATCCTTGATAAGTTTTATGAGTTATCCTTGATCGCAACAATTCATAACTTCGAGGACCTGAGAATCGCGTCCCTTCTGCTCACTTCCAAGAAACGATTTCTGCATTCAATAAAATTCGACATTTATTCGTCTTATTTTTCTCTCCAGAATTCATCTCACGTCACTCTGCTGAGGGCAAATTTACATTCGTCGATCAGAGGGTCAGTGGAATATTGGGATACTCGCCGTCCGAGCTTCTTGGCCATCAGTGTTACGAGTTTATCCATGAACAGGAATTACCCTTCATGCGGGAGAATTTCGATCAAGGTAAATTTTCAAAGATCAGAATGTTCTAGTTCGATACCCCATCGGACGGGGTAAAATTGGCCTTTTTCAGTCGACAGTGGCATTTAAGTTAATTAACTTCTCTCATGATTTTGCAGTTTTAAAACTGAAAGGACAAATAGTATCATTGTCATATCGTTTTCGTGCTAAAAATCGTGACTGGGTGTGGCTGAGAACGTCGGCGTTTGCCTTTTTAAACCCCTGCTCGCAAGATGTTGAGTACATTGTGTGTACGAATACAGTTGGAAAGTAAGTTTCAATCGTATCTGAGTATTTCCAACGAGAATGTATATCCTAAAAACTAATTATACTATATTTCAGATCGATTCATCCCAGTGGTGAGACACAGATTGAGAATGATACACTGCAGACATATGGACAGCATAGTCTTGATTATTCTCTCCAGCGGCAGCAGTCGAGGGACTCAATGTATCCCGCACATCACATGATGCAGCATCCAGCAGCGGTGGCTGCACCCGGACCCCAGCAACAACAGGCACGACCGGCTAGCACCCAAAATGCCTATCAGGGGTACGAAGCCACGCAGTCACCAATTGCCTACGGTTCACCGAGTCAGCAAACAGCGCCTTCTACAGTTTTAAATAGAATGCAAAAACCAGCTAATACGTCCCCTACACCTGTCCAACAGGGTTGGGCAATTGGGCGTCAGGTAGAGATTCATTCACTCTAAATTGACTTGAAGTTGGTGACATTTCGAAATTCCTTTATGGTATTTCGAACTGTAGTCTCTCGACTTGATGAACATTTTTTTTATTGTTGGGGGTACTCATGAGAATAATAATTTTCTATCTGGGTTTAGCAACCTGTGACTGAAGGGTATCAGTATAGTCAACTGAGCCCCTCGAGATCACCCAGTGGGCCAACGTACACTCAATTGAGCAGCGGCGCTAGGACAGCTCCGACCCAGTATCATTCAGTGACGACAGTGCCTAATAATCCAGGTGAGAATTATTCAAAAATTCTCTACAGAGCCGCTATATCATATTCCTCTCATTTTCTTCCGATGAACAATTACCCAAATTTTCCATTCATTTGCGTCATAATTTTTAAAAAAGTGGCACAATTGTCTAATGAGAATTTTCACAAAGAGGATGAGTGACTTGTGAAAATGTCAATGTTTTTTACATATTATATATAATATATATTATATTAATATAGTATAATATATAATGAATATAATATAATTTTTTTTTGAGTCGGTTCATTTGTTCAGAAGATATCATGTCTTCAAAACCGTATCAGAATGATTCTGGAGGCCAATAAATGTGAAGAAATAATGGAAATTCCGCATTGGATTTTCGGGGTCAATACAATAGCTTCTTTCGCTTCGGAAAGTAAAAAATCATTGATGACTCGAGTTTCTCCAAATAATAACGATTGATGCACATGTGACCTAGATACCGAAATACAAGATTATTTGATTACAGGTATGTGGGCCTGGCAGGGCCAACAACACCAGGGCCAACAGCAGGACGGTGGACAATCAAATGCACAGGTGACGGGTCAACCGCAGGCCACACACGGGCCACAAGGTGGGCCTGGCACTCAGCCCCAAGAATTCAATGAAATGCTGCAGATGTTGCAGGACCAGGCTGGCCCACCTGGGTTTGGTGAACTTGATATGTTTGGTACCAATTTCGAGTAGCAGTAAAAAGTAACTAACAATGGACAAACCAACAGTGAGAAGCAGAACGATAAAGCGAACAAAACGAGAAAAATTGTGAATACTCTTACGGGTACGCACAGGATACTTAGCAGTGAAAATTTTATCTACTTTCTTCCGTGCAAGAAACATCCCCTAGAGAGCACTTGTCCTGCAACTGGTACACCAAAAGGTTTTTAATTAGGTTTTAATGGCATTAACTCTTCCGGCGATACTTCTGTAACACGAGAGTGTTTAAGTGTCCAATGGGATTAGTATTGTCAGAGCAAGAGTTAGAGCCCTTTACGGTCGAGGCTGCGCACACAAGGAACCCCATTTTTTTAATTCATTGACTCGAAATGAATAATTAAGGATGAAAGCATTACCGGCTTTCGATGCGAGCCCATCACTGCATTTCACCTTGAAAGCAATTTTTTAATCCCATGTCACAATTTTTTAAAGAGATTTTACGTTAGCAAAGCATACTTAGAATCAAAAGAACATTTTATCGAGTAGTCAGGAGAATTGAATTATGTTTTTGTTTCTTTTTAGAAGAGGGAGGATCATGTTTCAATGTTTCAACGTTAAGTCTACGAAGCATCCTAATTTTATCATATGCTCATCATTAGCCAGTGTACAACTAGTATAATTACTTTTCATTTAGTTCATTTATTATAATCATAACAGTGCAATCATAAAGTGAAAGAAATGAGAATCATGAAAAGTATTGTTCGAACGTTGACAATGTACAAAATTATACAAACACACTTCGCTTCTCTGTGCGACACCGTTTTTAGGTATCATTAAGACAAAACTATTATGCTGAAGAAGGCAAATAAAAAAAACAAATAATTATAGATAACGTTACCGCCTACGACTGTACGTATAAGTGAACCACGCGTGATTCGTTGCATTTGTACATGTTTTAGTGATTTTTCTCGGAATCAAATGATAATAAAATGTCAACTAGCATATCATGATAAAAGAAAAAAATGTATTGGAATGAGAAAAAAAGGAATTTTTCACCAATGTACGGGTTATGAATATGAGTTGTAGATTTTTTTTTAACCGATCTTGTTGTATTTTTTGTCAAATACCTTTTCCATCCTCTTCTTGGGAGAGAGAGAGAGAGAGAGAGAGAGAGAGAGAGAGAAAACATTGAAATAGCGTAATCATTCCTTTCATTATTTTTCATTTTCATTCATGTATAAAAATTTACAATTTTAACTTAATAGCCGAGTGCGCTGCTTTCTCTTTCTTCTTCGTTGGTTTACTACTCTTCGATTTGATATGACTCGAGACTTCATCTTGCAGCTGTGTGAAGAATGCCGTGGAGGATTTTGGAACTCTCTGAGAAGCTTCGTTGATCTTTGAGATATTTCTGTCCTTCGTTAGTTTTTTAATTGCAGAATCCTGCGCACTCTTTGACGATTTTTTGCTCTTGGCTAATTTATTTTTCTTCATCTCGAGGAGATCGCCCAATGTTCTTTCTTTCTTTTCACTGGCCTTTTGCTTCTCGCGCTGGGCCAGCTTTTTCTTTCTCCTTGCTCTCTTCATGTCTGTTTTCGTTCTCTCTGATTTTCCAATTATGTCACCACGTGCGTTATCTGCAAAACAAACATTCAGGTCATAAGTTGTGAGACTACTTTTTATTGTGAATATTTCTGCAAATAGTGGATTCAAATGGAAAATTTCTCAGAGTCTCAAAAAGTTTTGATAAAATCGAAAAACTTACCTTTAACTTCTTCAGGAGCCAACAGCGCAGCATCACTTATTGCCACCGGCGCCACTTCCTCCATATTAATAGCCGGAATATTACTAATGATCTTAATTTCAGGCTGAGCCAGCTTCGGCGTGTAATGAAAGTTGGACAAAGCGTCAAGTTTCGTGAACAACGAATGCATCAGCTCCCTAATTTCCTTGTGCTCCTTCGGCTCCTCCTCTTCCTTCTCCTCGACACTCCCGCTGAGCGCCTCCTTTTGCTTCAGATACGCGTCTTCATAAATCTGAGCCAAACTCTTCTGACTCTTCTCTTGATCCATGACCAATTTTTTCTTGTACTCCACTGGCGTCTCCACGGGTTTGAACTTCTTTTGAACATCGTCCCAAGCTTTATCCTTAATTCTCTGTTTAATTATGTCCTCCAACTTCAGTGACGTCTGCTCGGTGATGACTGGAGCTGGACGAGAGGTAATGTCAAACTCAACGAACTCCTCTAACAGCGAATTCTGAGGACGACTCGATCCTGCAATTTCTCCCTTCAACTGCCAAGGTTTTTCCGACAACGCTTGCTCTTCCAATTCTTTTATACGTTTTTGTAATCTCTCTTGTCGAGCCTCCAACGTCGACGTTGGCTCTTCACCCTCAATCTTTGAGTGCTCAATACTATCCGAGTCATCTGAGTCATTCGTCAGGTTGAACTTTACCCTTTTCTCGCCAGATTTCTCCCCCTTTTCCAGGGTTTCACTGTTCTTGGGGCCTTTATGCCCCTTAATTCGGTCATTTTCGGCGTCTGAGTGAACAAGCGATTCATTGGTCTCATCATTCGTGGCTTCATGTTCGTTATCGCTCTCTGGACTGTCGAAGAAACCAGCGTACTTCACCATTTTCGCCTCGTCGTCGTCGTCCTCTTCCATTCCTGAATCGTCGTTGAATAAATCCACTGGCTCGTCGTCAGATTCATCAGATTCATCGGGATTTGGGTGAAGTTTAGATTCCTTTTTCTCTTCTTTCATTAGGTACTCGTCGAGCTCCTCCAGCTTGAAGAATTTATCGTCAACAACTGATGGCTTCTTCGGTACTTTCGCCACTTTCTTCGTTTTGTTCAAGTTTCCGTCCACGTCGATGTCCAAATCCATATCGTCGCTGTCTGATCCGCTTCCCTCGAGCATTTCCTCCGATTCTTCCTCGTTTTCAGCATCTTCAGGGGAATGTGCATTTTTGGAATTCAAAGGCTCCTCTGCCTTCGACGAACTGACAGGTAACGACAATTGGCTGCTGCCCGCTAATACTCGGGAGACCCCGGTCAAAAAATGCGTCAATTCTACCTCGTTTTGGATCTCCAGCTGTTGCCAAATTTGCTCCTCATCGAAGTCCTGAATAACGAGCTCTGGGAGGGCTGCTGTGTTACGCTTTGCCTCATGCTTTGTGAAGTCGTAAAGAAGTTTTGTGGATTGTTGAAATTGTAGAGCTACGTTATTTTGCGCGCTGCAAGTGAGGGATTAAAATCGAAATATATCTACAGTGTTTTAAGGAAATCCCAGTACTTGGGCTATTTTTTCTGCACTGAAATGTTTATCTACTTTTGTAGTCGAACATCAGAGCTTTCATTTGAGTCCTACTGACCCTCGTCTGCGGATATTTTACCATGATTTTATTATTCAAACTTTGCAGGTTTGAATTCAGTAGCGAAGTGGCAAAACGGTTTAGATCGGTTTGACTATTGGCCATTTTTCAGTCAATATCTCGGAATCTAGGGGAGATAGCTAAATTTTTGGCGAGACCTTTTTTGTAGCACTCAATTTGCTCTAGAAAAAAGGTTATTACGAAAATTTCGTTGTCTCCTTTAATTCGTAGTTATTCTTCAAAAACTCGACTGAGAAATAAATCGACTTAAACTGTTTTACCACTTCACTACTGAATTTGAGTAGAAAAAGTGGAAAAACAGAAAGTTTACTTTTGGGGGTAGAGTGATAAAATAAGGAAAAAATGCAATTTCTTCAAATTACGAACACTGTCTATAAAAAATTTATAAACAATCAATTATCCACCATAAAAATAATTTGTTAGGAATCGCAGCAAGCCGTCCGTATTGCCGCACCCTCCCCTGCGGGAATTGACGAAATTCATGCGAAAGAAAAAAATATGTGTGCAACAATGTGTATACAATGTATAACACGAAGTGCTGAAAGAGGTTATCCCAAACAATATTTTATTATCCCCATGCGATTGTCGATATTCACCTCAAATAATTCTCTGCTTTCTTGGTGTTGCTTCCCACTATCTGAATCACATTTTCCAAGGTATTCATATTCGCTGCGACACCGAATGACTTGAAAAACTCTTTCAACTACTTTCATTTGGGTTAGACCACATGTACACACTCGTGTAATTCGGAATTTCGGAAACAAACCGCGCGTGAGAGAGAAACCTGCAGTCGCGAATGTTGCGGACTGGCAAGTGCCATCGACTGAACGTAATGAAGAAACTTTTTCGGATGACATTTGTCGCTCAATGCCGCCAGATGGCCAACGACTGATGCAGAGGGGGTCGGGGCACAACGACTCCCCTCCCCCCCGCCGAGCAGTAGATGCCGACTGCACGAGGGGGGGATATGGCGGGCGGGAAACAAGTAGGAATGACCGGTCAGTGGAGGGGCGGAGAGAGGGGATCAGTGGAATGGAACGATGTCGAAGAGCGGTCTCGCCAAGTCCCGATGCCGCTAAGCCCCGGGCAGGGCCCCCGCGTCGACAACTTTTAGTTATTCGCGAACGTAGTTAACGTGAAAACCTTACCGCACGCCCGGGAAGTGTAATGGTGCTCGTTATTTCCCCCAAGTTTACCTCTCAAGTGCCCAGTTTTTGGTGAAATAAACCGTATCTACACACTGAAAACATTCAGTTGTAAACAATTCATCGAGCCCTCGACATTGAATTACGACAATTAAAATTGCTGTTATTTTCATCGACTTTCTGTGTGATTGCTCCGAACCAGGAATTTTTTCCGGCTACACAACGACCAATTCATCATTATTTTTTGGATAAATTCACCGAACCGAGGAAGGTGCGTATCAATTTCGTTGAATTCCAAGGACAAGTAAACACTGAAATATCCCATCAACGAGTGAGCTAGCTCCGATGTTATGTAGGTTACTAAACCCCGTGAAATTCAGGGAAGAAATTAATTTTATGAGAATAATATTCGTTCCCTCGAGGATACGTAGAACGTAATTGCGAATAACACACCACGTGGGATTATACAGCTCCCATACAGCGATTATTGCCCGGTAAATGCGTTCACTGAAATCCCTGCTGCTCCGAAAACAATTTACATTTTCCCACCGTAAATAAACGTTCCACCGTAATGTCTGGATATCCGGACAATCACGGCCAATTATCAGATAAAACTAGAGGCACTCGATAGTCCTCGGGACGAGCGCATCCCTAGAATCCGAGCGATCTAGATTCTAGAGCATGAAACATTCAAAAAACTGAAAATATCCGCTTTCCATCCACAAGACGTTGGAATTTGTCGCCGAAAAATATTGAGGACATTCCTAAATGTCACTCCGTCGGCAAAAGAAACATGTAAACAATTTTTTCAGAGGAAATATCCAGTTGACTTGATATTTAACTTCGGTTGAGGAAATAAAAAATTGTCACGCGGTAGATATAAAATTTTTTCCATTTGATACGAACTGGGATCCACTGATCACCGATGTGTGGCCCTCATTTTTATCTCTCTCACTCTCTCCCTGAGTAAATCTCTCTCCCCCTGATGTCTTTTTTCTCTCCGCTTGAGCACAATACGCATGTGTTCGTAATACGTATAAATACAACGGAGCGTACAATGCAAGGAATCATGTTTTTAATTCGGTGTGAGTGGATTTTTCGATTGTATTTGTGAATGTGTACGAATACGAAGGAGAGAAGTTTCGTTACGGAGTTGCTGGACCGCTCTCGAGGCACCGTGGGCACCTCCCTACTTTAAACCAAGCGGTATAACGCTCTCGCTTGGCAGCCTCTGAGAATGAGGAGAGGCAGAAGGGGAAAGAAGGATAGCTTAACGGGTACGAGAGTCCTGGGATCCCGTGAGCCTCGGTCGCTGCGTCTCTTTTCCCTCTGTTGATTGCCGGACGAATTTTTTGTGTCGCTTTTTTCTTCGTTTTACCCCCCTCCCCCTGTTGGGCTTAAGAGGATGGCGTCGTTTACTCGAGAACCACATGGCGCCCTTCCTGCCCTTTTTCGTGGAAACACCCGCGCAAAATTGATACATTCCGAAATATTCTCTCCTCACTGAATTTGGTGCAGCTTTCGGATTTTTTTTAGATGGCTTTTTTTCGTTTTGGTCAGACCCCTCGACCCCTCGGCATTCGCGCTGCGTGATTTTCTCTTGCTAGAATTTTCAGGGGGTAGGGAACGTAGACGAAAAATTGGGGTTTTGGACGGAAATTTTTTCATTGCCTCGAGCAACTATCTCTCTTTCCTCTGGGGGCGATAAGAACCATCTAGCATGCTTCAATAAATTATAAAATAGGATATTTCGAGTGAGAAAAATTTTTTCGTCACACTGTCTGTGAAATGCCGTTGCATTTTTTCAATATCGTAGTTCTCCAGTCGAGTCATTCCCAGGCAATTCTCATTAGGTTTCAATTATGGCAGTTATATTGCTCCAGAGGATGATCATGTTAGTTATAATCTCGAGTGAACTCCCTCAATAATTAATGAGTGGATTAAAATGTCGATCTGTATTATTTCCAATCGTCATTTCTAATTATGAGAATTCGTGAGGTGTAATGTCAGATTTTTCAATCTTGACGAAGCCTCTCGGTTCTGTATTCATACCAATCGGTGTATGGTTCCTGTTATAATTGGGACAGGTGTATTCGTGCCAAGGAGATGGCTCATAAGTCGGAAATTTTTTGATCTTGTCATCCTCTCTTTTATTTCATGGAATAGTGAAGTATTGAAGATCCTTGGAATCGCAAACGGAAGTGAGATCATTTCTAAGATACAAAAAAAATTGCGTCACCTGTATTCCATTAAGAAATGAGCAGTCGCTTTGTTTCTAGTCTCATTGAAAGGGAAATGCGAAATTACATAATTACATTACATTCAATTGTGACTAATATAACTCGGGTGGTCTCACCGTTTGAATCGGTTGAATGAAGGTGTTGGAGAACAATTGTTCATGATATTATAAAGATTGGACAGACAAATGGGAGGTTTAGGGGCACTGAGAGAAAAAAAAGAGTTCTCAAACGAGTATTACTTGTGCCAAAGAATCGTTTGTTAAAAATTCAAAAAAAGATTTTTGCTCGATAATCTGATAATTCAATCGAAATTGATATTCATGTCTAATATGAGATTCAAGATTGAGAAAAAACAAACTACACACGGGGATCTGATGAAATAATGTATTCAGGAATTTCGGGTGAACGGCCTGGATCAAGAATGAAATTGGTTCTAATAATGCGTTCGTGATATTCGTCCCAATTACATATGCAGAGATATGACACATTTCATCCATGGCGGATAGTCTTCGAGAGGGTTCTCATACTGGATTATGATCCATTCATTATTATATTCTCAAAGGTTAACCCTTGAGGTATATCCCAGAACACACTGTTAATTTTTTTTGCAAATTTCATGGAAGATATTAGAGTAAATCGCACGAGAGTGACATTGAATTGGACTTACGAAAAAAATTGTTATGAAATTTCAAGTTTGAAGTAAAATTCACTGAAATATATGAGTTTTCAGTAGAGCATGAATATTTGGAAACAAAATGATATGAATTTTCAATTTTTCCCTGAATTTTCCTGATTTTTCGGAATTTTCACAGAATAATTGACCTGAAAGAACAAATATTTCATCAATTTTCAAATGAAAATTCAAGAGTTTTTCCAAATTCTCTGTAAAACCAAAGAATAGGCAACAGATTTACTATATTTAAGAAGAATAACAAAACATCTAAGGTTTGACCGTGTAGATAGCCCGAGGATAAAGTACAATTCTTATGTTGAATGGCATTGCGCCGGTTTTCAATGGTTCATTAGCAATCACGCATTTAGGCCGCAGTTAGTTACAAGGTCAAACCAATTTACAAAAGCAAAAACACTCGGAACTAAATTGTAATCTCTAGCGAAAATGAAATAGTAATAAAAAATAAATAAATACGACGCTATTCATTAGCGAGTCGGCGCGTGAAAGCCAAGCCAAGTTTCTAAAACTTGACATTCTACGCCACCGGGACGAAACGATCAGTGCATATATGTCCACGTGTGTACTTTCGAATTTGTCGAGATTGCATTTTCCACAAAAAAAAAAATATATATATATATATGACTGTCGCAAGTGAACAACATATCAGCTTGAAAAAAATTGCATTAACAAAACAAAAGTGACGCATTGTTTTCATTAACAAAGAATGAAGATATAACTGAGGATAAACAACAAATAGGCAAATGAGAGTGTAAAATAACACTACGGTAGTGGTTTTATGAAATGGAGGTGAAAGTCGCTATACTGAAAGTTAGACACGATCGCGTATGAAAGATTCTCGTCGATGAATACAGTGCCATGAACTGGGTTCTTATCCCCGCGTGACACTAACTACGACGATTCGATTCTTATTAATTTTAATTCACTGAATACAATCGGAATTGAGTCAATTAAATTTATTAAATTCAGTAAATTCACTCTCCGTACGAGATACTCGACAAAGGGGCTAGAATGGAGTGTGAATGGAGTTGAAATATCGCAGAATTTATTGAAAACATATGCACCCACGATCTAGAGCTTGATTGCACATCAATTGAATTTTAAAACGAATGGGGGCACTCGTTACAGTTACACTCGGTAAAATATCTATTTTCTTAACATGTAATTGCACCACGTGTTTACGTCCATTTTTTGGACGGACATTACCCACACATTTTCCGCATTCTAATCCTCTCCCCCCACCGTCATCGGGCAAATGAATTCCTCTGAGCGGAGGAAATTGAAGAAAATTATCAACCGTAAATGAAGCGTTTCTCATCCCGAGATACTAGTTAGTCCAATCAATCGTCGCGATGATAACGTTTCATTAAACGATCATAATGACCACCTCTGTGACAGCGCTCATAGAGCATCACTACAAATGCTCGTGTTATCACAACAACCTTTTTTTGTTTCCCGTTCAATGTCCACCCACCTTCCTCGGTAACTGTCAACAAGCTAAATAGAGAAGAGAGGAATAAAAGACGATGGAAAAAATGCTAGGTCGTTGGAGTGTTTAAAGGCCGATAGAAAGTATGGTAGTAAACGAGGAAGAAAACGACACCGGCCAAGTGCATTCCAAAGTGCACACTCACTACTAACAATTTACCATTCCAGGCAGGTAGAAAAATGAGCGATCCGTACGAACATAATTTCCATGGCTTTTCGGGCACAACTCAGAGAGGTATTGTACACTGAGAGAATAACAGAAGTCTTGTCTGGGCCAGCAAAATTGCAAAAAAATTAGTATTTTGAATTGAATATAGGGGTTATATGAAATTAAGTTTAAATGTCTCTATATTATAATAATTTAAATCGACTTCTGGTGATAAAAATTTGGTACTCGAAATTATGACACACAGTTAAGGGTCACAAGGGTCAGAATAAGGAGTACGAGGTTCAGAATAAGGGTCACGAGTTTTTGAATTACACAGAAGGAAATTTCAATCGCAGAGTTAATGAAATAGCGAGAATGCATTTATCCTAGAAAATAAAAAAACTTGTCCAGAAATCGGTGTCGAACGCCAACCTCTAAAGTTTCGAGTCTAAACCGTGTGGGCGAGGTCGATGAAAAGAAGAAACAGAAACGGCACGTAATCTGTCCAACGCGACATTTTTTTAAAAGAAGCTGTGACTGCTCACAAAAACGTATTCAATGGGCGTGCAAGTCACAGAGGTCAGACATCACGTTGAGGCATCTTTTAATTATTATCTCTTTCATTCGCTTTGATACACGCAAACGCAAGGATTTTTTTTCTGCTACTTCCACTCAATCCGCACGTATTTCTTGAAAACCTGGGCAATAAATCGAATTAATCCGACTGTATGTTCACGATTGCAAGAAAAAAATGAAAAATGATAAGGTGTTATTAACAATCAGTTGTGTAACTTGCCTGACGTATAACTCGCGAAGATTATTAATTCGTCAGCACTCGCGCCATTTCCCCGAGAACCTTTACTCGCGCCGTGAGAGAATCTTACCCGTTCCTCGTCCGATCACGATAAATAGATAGTTTCGTCACAAGTTGAACTTGTTAACACGCAAAAATTTGCAATTAATAAGTGACAACAATGTCAAAGATAACTTCCTAAGTGAAAAAATATAATATAAATCCTCAAAAGAAAATCGGAAGTTGAAAACAAAACTAGGATTTATGCTTCCGATATAATAATGTCATTAGCATATAAAAACTTCAAGGCTTCTGCAAATGTTTTTATTTCTTCGGCGGGGAAGGGGGGGGGGTAGATATTTATTTTTGTCATATTTTTTTGTCCCTTTTAAGATTGTATTATTCAACTCCTACGAATTATTTCTTCTCCGCGGTGAATAAATCATTTAAAATGTCAGACAAAGCTCCCGCTATTTGCAAAACACAAACTTAAATTCACATATTATATCTCGCTGTATGAGGTGTGATTTTCATGCTTGATAATAAAATCCCACCCAAAGTAATCTCCATTGGTCGACAAATACCTGTGCACACTCAGCCGTCACGTCAGAGATAATAAAAATCGAAGTCCCCTACATTTTTTACCCGATAAGAGGTTTCATGGGAATCGATCCCCACCGGCGAAAAACATTAAAATACTGCATGATCTTACCCGACTGGATATTTCAAATGTTAGCTGTGGAAATTAAACATGATAAAAACATCCGGGATTTGACGCGGAAAATCCAGACAAAAATATTCAACAGTTTACTCCTGTCAACTCTATCGCCACACGGACAAAAAATATAATAATACAAATTGAATAGCTAAATTTATGCACTCACCATTGAGAGTTGGATACGAGGGATAAAATGACATCTCGAATTTCATCCGTAGCATGTCACTCCAGCCAACTTACACACACATCCACCACTGGAAAACTGGAATCGTCGTGATTCGACAAGCGTATTTCCGGGCTCTGCCCAGTGGTAACATCCTGGGCAGAACAATAATGGTAATCCGAGTTCTGGTGCTGGACAATGCTAATGTTTTTGCCTCCGATAATAATAAAAATTCACATCTCGCACATAATTTCCATTACCGAGTAACATCGTTCTTGTCGTTTCCTAGAGCTAGCTGAAACTTACGAACTATCCGAGAATTTACCTAGTCCAGTATGCGTGGTTCGTCACACTCCTGCTATTCCAAGTCACTCGACCGTTATAAAATCGATTGGAAAAATTGTTGGTGTTCATTCGGATGATACTTGCAAATGTTGTCCGTTGTTACGATCAATTTCACGTGAATTCGCTAGGAATTTTATATTTTTTGCCGGATGAGCGCCCTTTTGGCTCATTTTTAACTTGCTGACCTGAAGGGAGGGAATCTCATCATTTCTCCACGTTTCATGACCGCTAGAAACTCTTTCGATAATTTTTAGAGACCGGTCTGTATGTGTGGATGTGACCAAAATTTTTTGCTACGATTTCTCTCAAACGAACGATGCGATTCCCTTTTTTTTCACGCAATCCATGTGTTTTCATGTAACTTAGTAATGATTTGATTCTAAACAACACTGATGGTAGAAATTTTCTTGAAATTTCAGTCACAGCATCAGCTGAATTTTCGATATTGTAATTGTGAATTTTCTAGCGAATTCGCAAAGTTTTTCGATTAAATTCTTTCGTACGTGAATCCAGTCGAATTTTCATTAATTTTTTCTCGCTCTGTGACCTCCATAAACTGTCGATCTTTCTTCACACCAATGTGTATCACCTGCATGTCCCAACAACACTCCCTAATACAGAGATTCTCGAACACGCACACTTGTTGTGCGTGATAAGAGACGTGTTAGTGGCCTCTGGCTAACAAACCGCCATCATCAGTTACTCATAGATATTCGGACGCGTTACACTCCGAGATATATGTCCATTCAGCAGCATTTTTTGTGGAGATAATGTTCATTTAAAGCGGAAAAATATTGTGGAGTGGATTGTTAATAATTTTCGCTCCCTGAATTTCTTTTACAATGGCTTATCGGTGCGTTGAGTATGAGTCTTTGATGGTTTCCGTAATGAGTGGAGTTCCATCTTCTTCAAGTGAGTCAGTCAATCAAGAAATTTCAATGTATTTATTATTTAGTATTTATTTTTATTTTTCACGTAATTTGTCACAAAAAGCTTGTGATTGGCCAGCGCCCGAAGGCCTCCGGTCTGGTATTTACATTTTGCATGTAAAGTATTGATTGTCGAATGAAAACGAGGAATGAAACATAAAATATTAATCATCAGCTACACTTTTAAAAATTTTCGTCTAAATTTTCCGGCCCAAATTCCGGAAATTTTTATCGCGTTCAAGCTCTACTGAAATTTCAAGAATTCTTGTCGTTGAAAAATCAAATTTTTCGTTGATTTTTTCTTCAAATGATCTGGAAATCAATCAAATACATCGATAAAGTGATTTTTCAATTCAATTCTGCGAAAATTCAGAAAAATCTAATAAATTCAGGGAAAAATTGAATATTCATGTCATTTTGATTCTGATTATTCATGTTCCACTGAAAACTCACGAATTTTCGTGAATTCTACTTGAAAATTCGATTCAATGTCACTCTCATGAGATTAACTATATCTTTCCTGAAATTTCAAAAAATTCTAGCAGTGTAATTCTAGCAGTGTAGTGTCTTATAATTAAATGGGAAAAGTAATAAGCTGTTTCACATTGTTGTGGATGACATGAGACTGAAATATTTTGAGTTATTCAAGTATCCCACAGCTAACATCTGAAATATTTAGTTTCACTCATTTTGTTACGTTTGAGGGGAGAGTGTCAATCCAGTATTCTAGTGTTATCTCCCCTCCCTCAGTCTCCCCCAATCGCGGAATACTATCAAGTCGTTTAGAGTGCAAAACAAATATGATAGTACATTATTGATTTCACAACACAGCCAGTGACAATTGATTGCACTAAATTCCACGATAATGACGCTGAAGCGCGCATCGTTCTTGTGGAAAAAGCGAAAACTGAAAAAAAAATTTTTTCACCGCGGGCCAAAGTGTCAGATCTTAGATTTTTTCAGCGGGAAAGTCGGTCAATGGGTCACAAGGGTCACGAGGGCCAAAGTGTCAGATCTTGGATTTTTGCAGGGGGAAAGTCGACTTTCGCCAAAATCGAATTTTTTAGTCGGCTGAACGTTGATTTCAACTATTTGAGCGACGGGCTATTCAGAACTCTCAAAAATATGTGGAAAAAGTGAAAACTGAAAAAATTTTTTTTTTCAGATTTTCTAAGTGTCAGATTTTCCGTTTTTCCAGGGGGAAAGTCGACTTTCGCCAAAATCGAATTTTTTAGCCGGGTGAACGTTGATTCTAACTATTTAAGCGACGGGCTATTCAGAACTTTCAAAAGTATATGGAAAAAGTGAAAACTGAAAAAGTTTTTTTTTTAGATTTTCAAAGGGTCAGATTTTCAGAAGAATAATAATATTAAAATCTTGCCTGTCAGGATATCGTGAACCCGATTTATCCGACAAATATTTCGCAGACTTGACACTTCCACAATTAGCAACGCGTCCTTCTGGCTGTGTTTCGTCTTCGTTCAGTCAATTGTAGCTCTGTAACCCGATGTGTCGACCGGTCGTGTGGTTTTTCTTCCTGAACACGTCAAAGTACAACGGTGTTATGTATGTATATAAATGGGATACATGGGCGTAACACACGACCGGTACTCGTCACGCTTGGACAATTTACGCGTGTGAGCTCGCACTACGAAACATACACTTGCAACTCATCTTCAATCAGTTATCTCATCAAATGAAATTATGGAAATTCAAGGGATTATCATTTAATTCATGCTTTTCCCGTCTTCCCTTCGTCTTGATGGGATATTTCGAGTTGAGGGGAGATTACTACGAAATTTAAAAGGCCCGGGCTATTGGAGTGAGATTTCTCACGGACTGAGGATCGATATGTGCCTGAAAACGAATAATTAGTGCAAAAAAAATTGTATATTGTTCTTTGAAAAAATGTGTACAATAACAATTACGAATTTTTTTTTTTTAAATTCGACTCGAACACAGCTAATTTCGTTTTGTTTAATGTAAAAATTTGCGCCATCCGCGAAGGCTGACAATGATTTTCAAATAAATAAAGTATTCACTTCACTGTTGTTTGTTGAATTTTGCAGACTTCCATGATGACTGAAAAACGCTCAATCTACCCGAGCCCACCAGTTGTTTACAGCTTGTTCTTCGTTACCACTCGAACAGTTTATGTTTCAAGCATAAAATCCTCGAGATAATCCGACCTGTTTTATTTATAGATTTTCATATTACAGAACCACTTGTTGAGCTTTGACGTATAATTTCAAATAGGAGAGTCCAAAGATTTCCATATTTAATCGCTGAGTTTTCGGATTGGGAGGCAGAAATGCATAATCCACATTCATCTATGAGAACGATATTTTATATTACTTTATTTATTTTATCTTGATCTTGTGTTGACAAATTGATGCAAAACTGTTGAGGGTCCACGATCTCCCATATATCCACGGTAGAAATTACCTTGAATCCACGGGCAAACATTCCGTATGTCCACGGTCAAAGTTACCGTGGAGCGTGTAAATAGACACTGCCTTGTAAAATTAAATTTTCATAAATACTTGGTGACTGCAAAAGGTTTTGATTGAAAAAAAACTTCTTGTGTGCACCAGAACTCGTGGTAGCAAACTGGCTGCGAATGAAATCGTTTATTTAAAGTTCCACTTTTCTATTTATTTTTGTCATGTGGGAGACGAATGGAGAGGAAGTGGGTGTGGTTTGTAGATTTATCCCAGGAAGTTTAAAAATATTGAATGTTTATTTTAACAGGGGCGCAGTATGAGCCCGGCGCTGGACAACGCGCCCTACCCCAACGAACTAATAACATCCTGGTGGACGATTATACACCGTTGCGGATCAACAGATACCGAGGTGGCACTGAAATACAAAAGAGAATGACTCAGAGGGAGGATGTGCTCAAGTTTGAGCAGGGGAGGATAAAGGCCCTGCAGGAGGAGCGTCTGCATATTCAAAAGAAGACATTCACAAAATGGATAAACTCTTTTTTGCTGAAGGTATGTGCTGAGACTAGTATAAAGGAAATTATGTTACAGGACAGGAAAAAATTTATGATGATGTGCATAGTTATTTTAAACAATTATTCTCTTTGAAATCCAGTAAACCATGTGAAATACAACAGATTTTTCAGCAAGTAAAATAATGTAAATGTTATCATTCCAAACTACTGGTAAATGTCGTCATGATTATCACGCGCAATTACTCACGGAAATAGTGGAATTACTGTCGAAAATTTATCAGCTTATGACCATGTTTTCCAATTTGAAATTGGTCATATCTGTAATTCATTTCCTCATCCGTAGTTTATCGTTTTCAGTATTTTCAAGTTTTTAAATGGCATGTTTAGCGTGCTCATATAGGCATAATAGTGTCATCTCATTTGAATATTCATTAACATCATCCTCCAGCTACGGAGAGTAGGATATCATCACTATTCCGAATACTCAGTGGTAATCCCACCAACTCCACTTGATTGAGGCCCCTAAGGCTTCGCCAATTTTCCTAAATTCGTCCTAAATTTGGACATTAAAAAAAATGCTTGTTTAAACCATTCGATATTTTCAATAATTTTACAGGCACGAATGGAAGTGGAGGATCTGTTCACAGATCTAGCGGACGGTAAGAAACTACTGAAACTCCTGGAAATCATATCCGGTGAAAGACTGGCAAAGCCGAACAATGGACGCATGCGAGTACACAAGATCGAGAACGTGAACAAGTCCCTGGCGTTCCTCCACACAAAGGTAAGAATGAGAGGAAAAAATAATCATTGGTATTTGTATTTTTTTTTCTCACACACACGAGGTTGACATACTCCCAGTCCAGAGAATAGAGTAACGTTGACTTCTGGGAGACGAAGATCGGCGCTAGCTGCCAGTTCTTATTTTAATCGTTGAGGTTTTTTTTTTTTTTTTTCAATAAGACAGTAAGCTGAAGCCCCTCGAGTGTAAACCCATCATGAATGGCCTCTATGCTTCATGGCTTATGACATAATGGGTTTTACATTATTATACATAATGCACACCATGCGGTGCTCATAGAGTCTTGCAAATATCGGGAGGGGGAAGTAATACTATGCGGTTCTGAGAGTTGGATGAAGGAACAATGTTAGCTCAAGCGTGACCGTTGAACAGAATCATCAGTCCGAGTAGACAGAGCATTGACCACAACAATGTTGAAAAGTGCCTTGAAATTCCGATGATAATCATAAAGCAATTTCCAATATTTTTAGATTGTATTGGATTTGCGGGATAATTATCACTGAGATTTATGATTTTTCATGAAAATTGAAGGAATTTGTTACGTTCAGCTCGACAGAAAGACTTTTCGTTTACGCGCAACGTGTCAAAAATATTTTCAACCCATTATCTCCGATGCAATAGAACAATGTAATAACACAGTCGTTAAATGCAGTATGTAGGGACGTAACGGACCGAAGGCCAATTACTGACCATTTTTGGTGAAAAAAAGTGACGGAATTTCGTGTCGCAGAAAGGACTAAGGAAAATCTTGACGCTCATTTTACATCTCGATAGAACACGACAAATATCGTTCGTGTTAGTGAATAACCAGTATATCCGTCCTCTTTATACTCAAATATTTATCTGTTTTCATCTTACTCGCTCTCGTAAAGCTTCACCGTGAAGACTTTAACGGTACATATCATCAAAATGGCTCTCGCTTTTCCCTTATTAGCGATTCAAAATGAAATTATCGAGGTGAACAACATTGAAATTGTGTATAACTGTGGTGCTCAAGGTCGTTACGTCAGAAGTGTACGGAAACATGATTGAATACCGCAATTGTACATTTGTCATCAGAAATGATATGAGCATTCTTATCAACACGAAAGTAGGACAATCCACCTGTGCAATTATGAAATTGTCTCGGTAATGAGTAGCTCCGGGGCAAATAACAAAATCTATTATTGGCGTACGATGGCTAAAGTGTTAAGAAAGTAACGCTTAAAAAACGAAAAACCGAAGGGAAAATCTGAAAAAAATTGAGAGATAGTTTTTCGATTGGTATGAAGACCTCATATACAGTGATGAGGGACTTATTTCAGTAATGGGTGATGGTAGAAGAAATTACCAAGATACTTGAGGGGTTTGAGAGCTGTTCTTTTAAGCTTTGACACTCGGTCTCTTGCCATTTCATTGCATCATTACTAAGTTAAACGTAGTGATTGTAAAAATTTCGAGTTTGTGCATGCCAATGTTCTTAATGTTTTATTTGTCTCGTGGTGCTCATTTCTGCAGTAATTAAGAAAGCATGTTGACGCTTCTTGGAACATTGGAAGGATCATACAGTGAACAAGTTGAGGACTTACTCGAAGGTATTATTATAATGAAATTTTTTGTCTTCTTTTATCTCCGATACTCCATAAATTCTCCTTGGCTGTCATGGGTGCCAAGCGAGCAAGGTGGGCGAGGTGCGGATGCCTGTTAATATGGGCGAGATGAAAAGAAATGCAAGGGAAAGAAAAAAATATATATATACAGGGATAAAAGCACCGATGGAACTGGTGCAGCGGTAAGGTCAGTGACCGTGCAAAACTCGCTAGACCGTGAGTCTGAGGCCAGTTCAAGAGATATGTAGCGAAGTGGGTGTTCGAAGATTCGAGAGATGATCAGATTGACGTTGATGGGTCAAGATTTTGGGCTGGAATTTCTCTTTGATACATCGTGAAAGAGGAAAATTGCAAATGAGAAGTATTACGTGATGATAAAACATTCCACTCTGAGGGCAAATAATAATTGTGAACTAATTTAAAAAGAAATCTCACGGAGTAAGCGACAATGCAATTATTAATTGCGTTACAACTGTGGTGAAATTAATTCATGTAATTGCGGTTTGAGAAAGTTTTTGTCGCACTCGGAATTCCCATGTTATGTATCATGAAAGAAAAATGCTTTCGAGTGATGGATTTTTTGTTTGGTGGGTGATCGTGAATCATTTCTTGATATAAGAATGACGTAAGAGCTCCTTGGAATTATTTGTTGTCTTATTGACACATGAATTACAAATTACGAATTAATTCAGGATGGGGATCGTGGTGTACATTGTCAAAAAATATTGTCTGAATTTTTCGGTACACTTTTTTGAAATTCAAAAAATAGGCGGCTGCATTGACGAAGAATCCCTCATTCATTGAATTCAGATAATTTTTTTTATTGATTGTATTTGGTTGGTTTCCAAAGCCTGAGGAAGCTTGAATTACACGCGAAACCCCGCGATTCGACAATGTATTAGTATTGTTTACTGATTGTCCAACTATCCCACGATCCCCATCCCGAGTTAATTTAATAACATATAAATGAACAACAAAAAAATTATTATCATTAATTTCCCGAATTTTACATATGTTAAATTAAAAAATTTCCACTTATTTGAATGCGCACATTGAAAAGTCAGGGAGTACACACTCTTGAAGTCAATTTAAAATTATGGAAGCTATTATATTTATTTATTTTTTTCAATAATTCAACTAAACGGAATATTAAATTTCCACTCAACTGAAAGTAGAGTTTAGGGTCAATTTTGACAGGACAGAGTAGAGAAATTACGCTTTTTATGGACTGTTTCATCGGCAATGACAGATGTTCGTGTCTGCATGATAACTGCATCATAATTGAACTGCTCTACTCTGGTGATTACCAGCAGAATTTCACCGATCAATTCCCATCAATAAATTCCGCAATTTCCAATGAGTTTAACTCTTTTCAAATTCCCTCTATCAAAAAATTTAAATCGACCCAACTGTCGGATTCTTTATTAAATTCATCTGCAGTCACAAATCACAGACATTGTAAACATGAGTTTGCAACAAATAAGTGAAATACCAGGAACTCGGTTGCAGACTCGTATAGCCATATATGACAGAGCCGACAACTGTCGATGGGAAGAATACAGCGAATGTAACAGCGTCTCCAAGACAACGGAAATGAAACGTTGATCGGTGTCAATGAACGTCAAATGAGTAGTTACTTTTTCTCCTCATCTTCCTCTGGCTCTGGCCACTGCGACGTCACATTTGGTGTGCATAAAAGGGAGTATAAGAGCAAACTTGATAGAGTCTTGGGATATACCTTAACGTGGGCACGTCTAAATAGATTATTCACGTGCGGGTGCCATGTAAAAAGCGAATGCGAGCCCGAATAGTGCAAACGTTCTAACACGTCAACTATAATTCACGCGCCAACAAATGGCAAAATCCCCCGGGACCTGGACAAAACCCATCCGTAACACGCGATAATTTTCTCAAATTGTTCTGGGACGCCGAGAGTTCCTCGAATTTGTTCAGAATAAACCGGGGAATTTCCTCATTTTCGCGACTCACCCCAAACAAAAATAAAGACGTTGTATTATTTCTAGCACTGCATATGGATTGATTAAAGGATTAGACATAACAAATAATCTAGATTAATGTTGGAAAGACTAATTTTTTTGCGCATTTTTTTGTAATTGAATGGCGTAAATTCGATAAGATTTATCAGTCGTTATCTATCATCGATGGAATGTCGATTATAAATATCACGAGGTAAATCGAATTCCGTTGCAACCACTTAGTGAAAAATACTCGATAAGCTAAAGAAATTTAATTCAAATTATAAAAATACATGAAATACGTGAAAAACCCGTTTTTTTTTCACCAGAAATCCGTGTTGGACTGATCTGCTCTTCAATTACTGCCCTAGTAAATTGAATCCTACCACTAAATGCTTTTAATTTGCTCCATATTTTCCCGTGAAGTACTTATTACACTCGCGGGTTTCTTCGTAGCGCTAGACGCCACAAATTTCTGCTACTCATGATGATGCATCAGATGCATAAAGGGGCTCATTGTCGGTCTCAGGAGACCTAGTGCCTCTGGTCTATTTCATAGTACATATAATTTACATTAGATCGGGTGCTTGAAAGTCTTTTATATTGTTCGAACATCCATCCGAACTGTAGCATCTCAGTTAACATTAAAAAATATTCTTTCAAATGTGATTTTTATGTCATTGGGCCCGAAAACCGCGATCTTGCGACGAGAATTATCACATCATCGCATTTGAAAATAATACACCACGTGGTAAATAATGTCGTAATGACTTTTTAACTCATCCATCCAATAACGGAAACAATGGAATTCCTGGGAGCATTGTTCTTCCTCAAAAGTATGATTTAATGCTCCCTAAATAAGAAACATTGTTTCTCTTACCATTTCACATTACGCAAGTGTTCACTTATGCCTATTTACATGGCACAGAAAGTGTTGAACGAATAAACAAAAAAATTATCTTGAATTTTTTTTCCTTTGATGTGCATACATGGAACGGAAACGATGATGACGGGCTTATGACGCACTTTTTCGTTGGTTCCTGGTAATGAAAATGTGTTGAAAGGTTTCGATCGGTCAACAGGATTTATTTCAATTGATATAGCGATAAATATGAAATTTATCTTGCACGTATAATTTGTCTTTCCAAATTTATAGTCGCGTTTTGTGCGTGAAAAATTTCCTCGTTTGGGTCTAGAAATTGAAAATTTAATTCCGAAATGAAATAATTTTCGCGGCAAATGGTTTACGCTGAGGAGACACGTGAGCTGAACAGAGAGATAAGCTTCATGAGCTAGCTCGTAAAATAACGCGAGAGGCTGTTTGCACTAAACTGGTCCTAACGGAGTATCTACTTTCTGCCATGTACGAGGGCTGGAATCATGCACAACATCGCGAGAGTACCATCTTAACCGTTTTTCCCCGTGGCTTCAACCTTGTACTCTATCCACCATTCACGGTATCTCGTGTAATGTCGGCCTCGTTGTACCCCACTTGTTGACAGCATCGGACGAATAATGCATCATTCTCCGAATGAAATGAACACTGTTCATTCATTCTGTTTCATTAATCCTCACTCTACACGAAATCAATTTTTTTTTACTGAAAAAACAAAATGTGTTTGGATGATATTCATTAGAAACTGGAATTATTTTTTGTTTTTTATCATCTTTGCCGTCATTCCGAGGATCAATCGCCTTCGGAGGGAGCGCCTCGCGATAATTCAATTTTTTGCCGAAAAGAATTCGTGTAAAATTTTACCCCGTATTTAATATCATGCCACGGAGCTATTATTAAGTACAATCAATGATGTTGGATTTCAATGGGAATCCGCACTGGCAAGAGAAAAAGAGCTTCTAGTTTCCAGAACCAAGTTATTGATGTTAAAGAACTCGTAATTCTAAAGGGAGTTTTATACCGAGAATAATAGACCGGTGCTTAATTCAAGGAGAGGTTCACCCCGGGAAAAAAACTTTTTCATTTTTCGAGAGAAAAAATTTTTAATACTATTTTCCGCCCGATTTTTCCGCAGGAATCTGATATTGCAGGTCATGATTGTCTCCCGCCACCCAAAAGTGGAGAATTGATTTTTTTTTAACCGACAAATCCACTTAACAAAAATCCCCAACGTATTTTTTTCGAAATAGTTTTTTGAATGTGATCCCAAATTTTTGCTCCTTAATTATGAAAACTGCAACATTTTTAATAATATCTGAAAAAAAAATTTCTTTTCTATTGGGAAGAATAATCAATGAAATTTCTAAAAAAATATCCAACAGCCAATGCGTTTGAGAGGAACACAATCGAGTATCGCCACAGATATGCTGTCGCTCCTGCACAGTCGAATTGCATTATTCCATTAACCTCCCAAGAATGCAGGAAAGTCGCTGCAGGAATCCCACCCCCACTACTTACCTATTTATCCACTATTATTCGCGAACAGTATCAAACCGTTCTGTGATTGTACGAATGTACCAGTCGGCTCTTTATTGCGGGCGCAGTACATATCTTAATTCTGAAGTGAATGAAATCAGCCTTACGTGGCTGTGATTTTCCCTTTTCATATTCTCTTTCTCAACAGAATATTTCTAATGGCCAATTTCTCTGTGGTTTTTCTCTTCAAGATACGTTGAAAGTATCGCGAAGTGGCGCCTTGCAATGCTGCGAGAAATACATATATATAAATGTTGATAAGTCATTACTTACTAAACAACTCCCGAGGGACTTCGATTTCAACTTCATAAATTTTTTATTAATAAAACCGGTGTCGTGCGTGAAATTGAAAATCAAGACGAGTTTTGATCTGTTAAAATCTATTGAAAATATTGGCATTATCCTTTCTCTATAAGAATGCCTGTCATGTTGTAACGTCCAAGACTTCCTCGGCTTGCATTGTACATTCTTTTCAACGTATTTCTCAGCATTGATCATTGCCTTCCATTCTGTATATGAACTCCTTTCATTCTAAACTCCGTTCATTCGCGGATATTAGCATGAGCTCAATATAACGTCCGAGAAACAGATCGATCATTCACTGTTGCTGAATTTTTCAAGAAAAACATTAATAACATTTTCCAAAATTAAGACTCACTAAATAGTTATTTTCATCAACCGAAGACTTTTCAATTTTACCCTGACTCTGGAAATTAAATATGATAAAAATTTCCGGGATTTGACGCGAAAAGTTCAGACGAAAATTTTTAACAGTGCGGATTAGCTTTTTAAGAACATAAGGCGGAAAATTCGAGTTCAAGGGCGGGGGGGGGGGGG